TTACAATACCTCCTCTCTTAAAACGTACGAGTATATCTACTACTTGCCCCCATAGGGATCACGCGACCCTTGTCACGTGACCATCACGCGACCCTTGTCACGTGATCACGTGGCCCTTGCCACGTGTCCTATGTGAGCCAACGCTTCTGGCCTGTACCAGAATCGAACGTTAGACCCTTAGGGTAGCTTGAAGTAATGTAATGGGCGGGCCCAACGGGCCGAGCGTACGACTACTTACGCCATCCATAGCCAAAAAGGCAGTAACAAGACTTCAAGCTTCTTGAAGTCTAGGTAGTCGTATAGATATACTCGATCACACACACACTTTAGGCGTAGCCTCTTACAGTTCGTGATACTAAGAAAAAGTGGCACACTTGGTGATGTGGCCCACTTGGTGATGGAATACGTTAAGCTTATAACTAAAAAGCTTTTATATATACTTTATAAGCTTAGCTTTATATTATATAGTAAGTAATTTTATACATTCTATAGTAGCTATATAAGACCAAGTTTATTTATAGTAGTAGCGTATTAACATTAATAATATAACACTAAACTGTTTTATAGCTACTCTATATAAAAGTTATTTTTTAGAATTTTATATATTAACTAACATAAGCGCTTTCTTAGTTAGAGTTATAGTAGTAGAGTTATTACGCGTTAAAGTAGGTAGGTCTGTTTTAGGAAGGTGCAGATGGTGTTGCATCCGCTGAACAGTTGCACGCACTGACCACCTACAGTAACGTGGTTGGTGCTTTTCCGCATTAGAGAGTCTAGAAAGAGAGTGCGGAGGATTTCCACGGCCCGTACTTACCTCTAAAACAATCGTGCGACCTGAGGATCTCCTAGGCGGTGGCAACAAAATAACACAGACGTTGGTCATGTGTCCATCTCCCAGACAGCACTGCTGCTGCTATCCGATGCCGCTGTAGTTCGCATCGGATGTTTCTAGTGACATTGATTGGTTCCTGGAAAGTCCGATGCCAAGAGACACCAACCAAGCTAGATACGAAGGATTCCCCTTCACCCTAACGGCTCGGCGGTGCTATTATGTTTCGGACCGATTCAGCCGTGGACAAGTCAATCCTAGAAGCAATTCATCATACCACTCTCTTTTGTAATTGCCACATTACTGCCCACCTAACCCGTGTCAAAGCTGTAGTTGGCTTGTGATCAGCTTTGAGGCGCTCTTACTCGTCTATGACCCTTGGTTGGAGTCGAGATAAGTATGCCGGCTGTTTGACATCCCACAAGTCAGTTATCTGCATACACAGCAGAAATATAAAAACTTATTTTCTGGGGCTAACTAACCACAGCAAGTAAAAATATAAGGACATTAATATCAGTTTTAAGGTCCTCGATGACACCATATCTTAGTAACCCCTTCTAGCGCTCTTCTGGAGTGGGAGTATTGTGATGTGCATACAAGCTAGCTAGCATCGGCCACTTGAAGGTCATTGAGACCTGGATCGCTGCTGCAGATACCCAATTGGAGCAGCCAAACTAGGGGCATATATTCCCGATGTTGAATGCTTCAACAGAGCGCATGACTACCTGCGGCTCTTTGTTTCGTAACATGTTTAGTAAAGATGACTGTGTTGCTTGCTTGGTGCACTATGAATTTTATCGATCCGCCACACATACTCGTCTCTAGTGGAGAATGTATTACGTTAATGTGCATCACGATACGAGTTGAAGAGTGATCGCGTGAACAAAACGACTAGCATTCAAGGGACCAAGGATTATCTTGAACAGCTTAGCTCCTCTCTATCACGACATGCCCTGGCATACCGATACACACCACGTGCCTTGGCATATCTCCATACACACTACGTGCCGTGGCATATCCCGATGCACTAGATGTTGTGGTATGGGTTGCTGCATGGGTCAACAGCAACAGGGTACCTCGCGAGTCAAGCCGATGTCTTCACTGCTCCATCACTGTGGTTCTCTTGCTGATAGAGAGTATGCACCGGGTAAAAATGCACCGTATCAGTGGCAATTACAGCGACTTGAGGAGCGATAGCAGTTACAAAAGATGTATATAAGTACTACAGACCACACGCAAGACAGAATCATCACTCACAACGAGAACTCGCCTTCCAACGCACTCCATCTCACACAGCCAGCTACCAGCTCTTCCAAGCTTTCCAAGCTCTCTCTCATACACCAAACAGCTCCCAGCTCTTTTAAACTTTCCAACCCCCCTTTCAACCATCACCATGCGTTTCACCATTCCTCTGATTGCCGCTGCTGCTGCTCTTACCAGCGCCGTTGCGATTCCCCAGCCTGATGCCATGAACATCACCCTCAGTGTACAGTATCCTTACTTCAAAGCAGCAGTTCTATTGTTTTCTAACAGGACTTTTAGGATGGCATTTATTTTGAAGTTGTGGAGTTCTCTTCCGAGAGCCTGCAGAAGCGCCAGACCCCAAGCCCCAATGTGCAAGTCATTGGTGACAAGGCAGGAGCAGCTGGCGTAGCTGTTGGCAGGGTTCTCAATGCCATTCTCAACAAGCTCTTCCCGCTCAAGGACTGGAACCCTGCTCGTGAGACCTTCACGAAGGAGACAACATCTCTGATGTACAACAACAACCCTGATCGCAACAGGTGGGTTGCTGCTGCCTGCTACAACAAGGCTTGGGCCGTCAAGGACTACGGTGCCATCTCGGACGTTGTCAGCATGAAGCTGAAGCTGGGCGCTTTCCACACCGACTATGACTGCATGTACATTGGCCGCCACAACCAGTTCTGGACTGAGTCTGACAACGGCTACATCAACGTAAGCTCTTTTTCATGATGAAGCAACTAGCAACTAACTTATTCTCCAGCTCGCCTATGCCTACAATGGAAACATCTGCAGCTTTGATGGAAGCACTGGTGATCTTACCTGCAACTAGAATACACCTTTGAGGAAAGCTTGGGCTAGTGGTACGAAGGGTTATGGATATCTCAGTCCATGCATGATGGTTGTATGATTACAAATGATCTTTCTTAGTATACAATCAAGAATTTGGGCAATCTATGAGTCTGAAATATATGTACGCAGCCTTTTCATGTTTCATGAGTGACATGGGCCATACTACAACTGGCCACATAATTCAGTATACGGATACTGTACAAATCAGCCGTCAAGGTACTAGCATAGCATCTAGACCGCAATCCCCATTACTTTACAAAGCCTAGATTTTGGAAGGCGAGCGCCCATAGCAAACTCTAGAACTCTTGGATAAGGTAAACTTGACTCGGCGATATACGTGATCTGCCAGTATAATCACAGTCGAAATCTAGCAGTCGAGAGACATAGATACTGGAAAAGATTTCGTGCAGCACACAGCATTGATAGCACGGGGCATTCATCAGGTAGATCATGGGCTTAAGGAAGACGATGAGTGTATGCACATACCACCCTTTCTGATTTCGCCCATGCACTCTGCCGGCTTACCTACACCATGCAAAGCAGCTCCCCTTGCTTCCTCAAACTATCGGATATTTTGGTATCCAGCGATGACGTGGAAACAACAATCGCCATGCTGATTACGCTGATCATGTCAGCAGACCTGAAGATCCTCTTGCGAAGTTCTACACCCAGCCTTTGGGGTCGGTACGAGATGCACAAACGTGAGAGGCGCAACTTGCATGGTCACAAGGCTATTCCAAGAGTGGCTTTCGTATCCGCAGAGGGCGGAGCCAATAGTAAGTAGTATTATGAGCTTGATTATATTCGGCTCGCTCTACTACTCACCTTGCTTTTGATCATACTATTCCTTTGTGGCTATTAATGGGGCCGGCAATGGGCCGGATGGCCAGGCTAAAATGCGTGTGCGCATCCTCTTGGGAACAAGGCGGGGGCAGTAGGGGGCCTGAATATCCAAATACGTCACAAAGGAATTAAAAGTGGGTGGATGGGGAATGCAGCAGTGAAGGCGGCGGGTAAGCCGCTAGTCCGAAATGGGAATCGGAAAAACTCCGGCCGACACGCTTAGGGTCCCGCGCCCTCGCAGCTCGTGTTCCAACCCCCCCCCCCCAGCCATCTGCGCGCACCCTCTTCAACCAACCCATCTACCACCATCACCTCGTCATCACGCGACTCGCACCACATTTTCGATCCAGACGACACGGATCCTTTTCGTTCTCGAAGTACACAACAGCTCGCGCAGCTGCCCGTCAACCATCTGCTCATTGTTTAGTCTTCGCGCCTGCTCGCTGCCTGGCCTCAGTACACCATCCTTGCGAACCCTCACAAGGCCTTTGACGCGGTGCGCACAGCGTTGTCAGCTCCATAGCTCACGCGCTGGCGAGCCAGTTGTTATTGGGGTGATACTCAGACAGACACGAGTAGCGTGGACACGACGGGGTCGGCGGTTCACGAGGCAGCTGGCGCTGCTGCAACAACAACAGAGTCTGGGCTGCTCATCGCCGAGCGCGCGGCAAAAGCCCGGGTGGGTGGGTATCTCTTGCTCCTACAGTACTGCTAGGACAAGGGGGTATCTTTTTTTAGCCAGGTGAGTGGTGTTAGAATGTAGAAGAGTCAATAAACAATGATCTATAATCTAGTCCGCAAAAGCGGCATTCCAGTATTGGCCTCTCCTGCTTCTGATGCTGCATCACAATTGTCATGTTGCTTGGCTGTCAAATATCTCGATGCTCGTATGCAGGCCACGATCTCGCTGCAATCTTCTTTTCCCATCAATGGTTTTGAAGACGAGCAAACTTTCACTCTCCTTTACAATGCTGACAATCTGGAACCTGGCAACACTTTGCTCAAACCCCCACCCACATGTCTGCCACCACAAGACCGACTGAATGAGATCGCCCGACAGGGAAACGTTCATTTGAAAACCTTATGTCTAGCCCTCAAAGCGCCCTGTCCTGTATGGTGCCCTCCTTGTTCAGGCCCGATAGCCCCCAAGGACGGTTCCAGCGCGCCTTTCCGTCAGTTTCTTGACCTCGCTAGGTCGACACAAGTACATATCTTGTTTGACTGGAATTGGCTCCATAAAGACCACCATGGTCGATTCGATCGTTTGATCAGACATCCCGAACAACTGACGGGTATTCCGGTTGACCAGTCTTCCATAAAGCGGTACAGACTAGCGGACTGGTCGGTCTTCAGCATTGTCGATGATGTCGAGTCGGAAGCCCCGCCTTCGTATACTGCCGCGTCTAAGAAACGTCCCCGACCAGGTGAGTGTAACTGGTCTGGCACCTATCCATTGAACAGCACCTAAAACCATCATGCAGCATCAATCAGCTCGACGCCTCCTTTATCTCCAAAACGCGCGCTGCTATCTCCAACGCCTTTTTTGACGTCACCGACCGAAAAGGCAACGCCAGCATCGGTATTGGTGCCTAGCCCTAACTCTCCTCTGTTTTCAGCCCCCGCCACTGCGTCTGAATTCCAAGAAGCCGTCAAAACCGTAGTCGAAACACTACTCCCACAGATGTTGCAGACAATTTTACCTGACATGCTCCCACGTGTGTCTGCAAGTCCTTCTCCATCACCGCCGCTGTCGCGATCGCCATCATCTTCCAAACTGACGGCGAAACGTATATCCTCGCTGGGCAAATTTTTAAATGCGCATGCGACAGCACGTCTCGAGGCCCAGCTGGGAGAAATCTATGCCGAAACCCTTGCCCACGCAGCCGAGATGCATAACACAGCTGCGGTCGAATTTCACGAAATAGTCGAAGAGCAGAAACTCGATGTCGCTGTGATCAAAGAGGATAGCATTGCGGAGCTGAATCGCGTTTTTGACGACAAGCTCGCCGAGTTTAGGGAGAGCACGGCGGACATGGTGGATGATATGGAGAAGCGCGTTGAGCTGGTCTATGCTGACGTCTGCGAGAGACTGGACGTGCTGGCCAAGGAGTATCCAAGTCGCGAAGGAGGCGTCGAAAAGGACAGAAGGAATTCCGGCATCCGGAGACGAGACGGTGTACAAGGCCGAAGTAGACGGGCGACTTCATTACCGTTATGAGTAGGGAAATGCAGAATCTTTTGACTGGAGAGAGAAGGGTGCATTCATTAGGCTGCTAACACTACCACACTTCGTCCTCCACCTGTTCCATTTGTATGCGCATTGCTTCTTGCTCCCAAAAATCAGCAAGCTGCTCCGCGCCTCTCCGTCCGCCGAATCGTACATCACCATTGGCCATGTCACCTTCAGCTCCGTCCATGAGACGCTGAAAGCAATCCTTGAATTTTGGGTCATTGAAGTGAGCATAGGGATGGTCTGGGTTGAGCCAAGCAGAACAGAGATAGCAGAAGTGCGTCTGACACTGGGCGCATGTTATATGGTTGCATCCAAACTTGCGTTCAGGTTAGCAGGCTGTGCTGAGTATAAAAGATCAAAAGTAAAAGTGTGGGGGAAAAGAAAGTCAACTTACGGATTTCTGACAAGGCACAGAGCAGTACGGACATGGCGTTGTGTGCTTTGAAATGAAGTTGAGGGATGCCTGATCCTCATCGGTAAGCTGGGTAGCATCGCGAGGCTCACAGCGGACAAAGTCTCCGTGCCATGAAGCCAGGCAGACGACACAGAATGCAAGGTTGCAGTCCTCGCAGACCTGCAGTCTTTCCATGCCTCTCACGCCAACCGCGCGCTTTTCAGGCCCAGTATCGACGCTTATACTCTGTTCCGGAACATCGTCGTCTTCGGAGTCGGAGCTATCCATCTGGCTGACGTCGGTGATCTTTGGGTATTTGTCCGTTCGCATGGCACCTTGGCACCAGGTTCGCGGGCAGAAGATGATTGTCGGGTCGGACTCGATCTTCTTCTTCCGCTTGATCTTGGCGTAGCGCTCCACCTGAGCGGATGATATGGGTATCTGTAGCAGTTCTCTTGGGGACAATAACCGGTCCTTCTTCTTTCCACTGCTGCCGCATTCGGTGGACATGCACTTTACGTTGTTGATATCCCCCTCTTTGATGCAATTGTTGTAGTAATCCTGGAGACAGGCAATGCAAAAGACATGGCTGCAGCGAGCCATGCGATAGCAGGCGGAGCCCTTCTTGGGCTCCAAGCACACTTCGCAGTCAAAAGTTTCCTTGTCGAAGAGATCCTTCTTCATGCGCCTGGCATAGTCGACCAAGTCCTGGTGCATGCTCGACGAGAGTGTGAGCTCGTGCAGACCAAAAGCAGTCTCAGCCTGTTCTTGCAGCGAGCTTATATAGGCGAACAAGATCATGCCCCCGCCGTATTCGTGCCATAGCGACTGTGCCTGGTTGGACAGTGTAGCCTCGAGGTTTCCGGGTAGCCAGCGCGGCGAAGTCGAGGGCTTCACGATGGGCGGGGCTTGTGCAGGATATCCGTCTGGTAAGAGGATGTCGAGACGTAGAGGCGGGAGATAAGCGAGTCGTTCGACATGTTGCGAAGGCTCGAAAGTAACGGGGACAGGCTTGGATGGCGCGACAAGCAGGTCGAGCGTGGCGCGGTAGGGATTGCTGTCGTCGACCACCAGCTCGGGGTAGATGGACTGTAGCGTGGTGAGTTCTTCGGCGCGCTCGTCGTACAGGGACGATTCGGCCATGTCGGCCGGTGGCGTTGGGCGACTTGGTGCTGTCCCGGCGGGCGGGGCAGGAAGATATGGCGGGTGAGATGCACTGGTCGGGGGCGCAAGCAAGGGCGCAAGCAAGGGCGTGGCAGCTATCGATAGCGCATAAAGGCAAAAGAGCCCTTGAAGAGGCCCATGGCGAGTGTAAAGGGCGGAAGTGCTGGAATGAAGCGCGAGGACGCCTCCAGGTCCCGCACTAGGCTGGTGCTGGTGCGGATCTGATAGACGTGTGGCTTGCGCGCGCCACATTACGCCACACTGCGCCAAGGCCGGCAGGGTCTCGCCTGGACATGCGCCACCACCATCATCGTCATCATCTCCACGCTCAAACTTCATACATTTCCACTCCATTCGCAGCAGCAGCAGCCGACGAGCCTCGCCTTCCCGTGGACCCCCCAACATGGAGGAACCTCGGCTTGCCTCGCTTTCCCTCACCCACGTCCATTATGTGTGTACCATGACATGGCGGCCCCAGACGCTGCTGACGCTCGTAGAACCCTGCAGACCGCGTCTCGTATGTGTGCGCATGGCTCGCTCTCGTACCGCAGGCCCTGTGCGTAGTCTACGCGACGCTGATATGGTCGAACCGCGAGATTGAGGTCTTCCTCATGTTTGCGGGCCAGATGGCGTGCGAAGCCCTCAACTGGGTGTTGAAGAGATACATCAAGGAAGAGCGGCCGCGGGGTACGAGCAATTCGCCCATGTATATGCCATGAGCTGACATATACACCAACAGAAATGCATGGTAAGGGCTACGGAATGCCCTCGTCGCATGCGCAGTTCGTCTCTTTCTTCTCCGTCACCTTGGGCCTCTTCCTCGTCTTCCGCCATGTCCCGCACCCGACCGACACCCACACCCCCTTTTCCTTGGCCGGCCGCGTCCTCCTGTCGCTCCTCGCATTAGTTTGTGCCGGGGCTGTAGCTATCAGTCGGATCTATTTGAGCTACCATACCCCCAAGCAGGTCATGGTAGGCTGTGCGGCTGGGGCCGCCTTTGCCTTGGCATGGTTTGCGTTCACAACCTACCTACGGAGAGCCGGGTGGATTGAATGGGCACTGGAAACGTGGATTTTGAGAGCACTCCGTGTCAGGGACCTTGTCATCCAGGAAGATCTTGTCGATTCTGGCTGGGCGCGATGGGAAGATAGGAGAAGGCGGCTGTTGCTCCACAAGCAAAACAAGAAGAGTACATGACCATTGTGGCTCGCAGATGCAAATTGAGAATCTAGTAAACAGCCCTTAAGCCTTTTGATAACTGGAGCTATTGTGAGGTGCGGCGAATCTTTTGTTGACGTACAGTTCTTGGGCCCATTCGGTGACGAGGTCGCCTAGAAATCAGATCCAGGGGTTGAGTGATGTCCGTCCTGCGTCAATCATGGCTGGCTATGCTGACTAGCGACCCTCTCCAGAGGCAACACTCTTGATGAATTGAGGTTCCAAGTGGTGTGTATCGACCTTTGGTGAGTTCCAAGACAAGCTGTCTGCCTCTGCTGTGGGTGTGGCAGTATCAGTGGCACTTTTGCCAAGCCAAGATGTTCCTCGACCTCGCCAGCAAACGACTGAACGAGCATTGCCCTCGCCAATGATATCGAACTCGTCTTTAGTCATGACAGTGGAAGCAGCAGTGGGGTCTTCCTTCCAAATCTCGATACCGTCGAAAAGGTGAAGATGTCGCGCAGTGCTGGCTACGCGCAGTGCTTGCTCCATGTCAGCAACTTCTAGCAACACCACTTTGGCCTCAACATCTCGTGCTATCTGCAGCAAATGTGGATAGAACATGTCACCTTGCTGTGTGTCTGTGTACTTGGCCCGAGACGGTGGCACCAGCGCAAGCTTTGGTTCGAACGCGCGCACTGAGCGTGTTGTCGTCTTCCAAAACGCAGATGGCGAGACATAAGGAGGGTTCGATATGAGAATGTCCCATTGAGCCGGCTGCAGGGCGTAGTTGAGGGCTGCCCTCAACGGCAGGATTTTCCCAGACTGATCAGCGGATGGATCGATCAGTACATCAGCTTGGACAAAAGACGTCTGGGCTCTCTTTCCGAACGGCTGGCTCTTTACCAGCCTTTGCAGGTTGCTTTGAGCCAGATCTAAGGCTTTTTTTGATATGTCAACACCGAGAAGGCGCAGGTCGATATCCTTGCGCGCAGATAAAAGCTCGTGTTGGAAGAGGAGAGGAATGCAACCGGTGCCAGTGCAGAGGTCAAGGAGGTGTAATTCAGAAGGGAGATTCTGCGAGCGACGCAGAAGATTGACTAGATGCGTGACTGAAGCTGCCGTGTCCGGTCTGATGGAGGAATGAGTTGAGTATTTAGGCCAACGCCGAGACTTTGGGTATTGCATACCTTGGGATTAGCACACCCGGCTTGCACTGTATCTCCAAATCGCCAAAGTATTCTGTGCCCAGGATATATTGGAGGGGCTTCCCTGATGCTCTTTCACGGACCAATTGGCGCAGCAAAGCGCCCTTGGCCAGCCTGTCTCGTTTGGCGACTTTGTCGACATGTTCGCGCAGCCACCGCAATTCATTCTGTGCAGCCTGCAGATCGCGGCAAGGTGCGAGAAGAGCGGGGAGGAAAGCATCTATTGCGCGCGCCTTGCGAATGAGCGACGTTGGTATGCGTGGCATGGCCCAAAGGTGCTGCTAGCAGCGTCCAAATATCCAAGTTTTTTGTGACCCACGCCATGTGCACACCATTCCTCTTCCAGGCCTGCCGCGGACACACACACTACATACACCCTGACATGGCGATACACATTCCACCGCGCCGCGGCCACTGCCCACCTACGGAAAACCATGCTGTAAGGCGTCCAAGATGCCGTGCAGCTAAGCTTTGATTTCCCCGCACGACAGCCGTTTGACCCACAGCTCCTAACTCAAGCACAAGTCCTTTGCTTATATGTCGTTGTAATCACCTGCTCAACGGCACGGTAATACCGAGTTCCATTATCACCATCAGCAGCAGCAGCCGTACTTTCTTTGCTGCACTACACGGCTGAATACTCCCGGGCTTTCAGACACAAAGCAGTCGTTGGTCTCTTCCATGCAGAATGGCTACGCGCTACTTTTGGCTATCGAGTTCTGTACAAGTCTACAGTCCATATCTGATGCAGCATCTGCTTGACCACACAGGAAATACATAGATGATGGACCTTTATAAATGTAAAAGGCCCTGCACTCATCTTCTTTACCCATCCTTCGCCACAGCCAGATGAGATGCGTCGCCAAGTGCTCTCCCGACCAGTGGTTGCACACGAGCCGAGCAGCTTGACTTGTGGGGGTATATCACACAGGTGCCTGCATACATGACTTGGCAATACAACTTCGGCAGATGGGCAAAAAGCTGTGCACTCATCCCTCTCTGGGCATATTATGATCAACGTATAAGACACTATACGTCGTGTCAAAACGCGTCACTGAATCTCGTCACACACTTACATACCCTACCATGTCCGATAAATACGACTACACATGGCGCGACCATTCGCGCTTGTTCATCGCCTGCGGTGTCGTCATCCTGAGCCCGTTTCAATATGGCTTCGATTTTGGCATGATTGGAGGGCTGCAGGCCATGGTGGGATTTCTCGAGGTATGCACCACAGACTTTGGTGTCGGACAATCTTGATTAATCTCTAGAGACTAGGTTTTTGGTTACCGTACCGACAAGACGCCTACGGGGTGGAATATCAAGACGGAGAGACAACAGCTCATCTCGTCTCTCATGACGCTGGGGGCATTCATCAGCTCCGCTACTGCGGGCGTTCCATCCACCCGGTTTGGTCGCCGCATGTGTCTCGCTGCAGCATGCATCATTTGCTTTGCAGCCAACATCCTGATGATGGCGACGGAAAACATTGCGGCGCTCTACGCAGGCCGTCTGATCATTGGCCTGGCTAACGGCTACTTCATGACCTTCTCACAGCTATACCTCCAAGAAAGCAGCACCGCCGAGCTGCGCGGCGTGTTCCTAACTGGCTTCAACTTCTTCGTTTCCTTCGGAACCCTGATCGGAACTATTGTCGATTGGGCCACGGCAAAGCGCCCAGATAAGTCGGCGTACCTGATCCCTCTCGGGCTCATCTACATCTTCCCCTTTGTCATTGTCTGCACTATCTGGTTCATCCCCGAGAGTCCACGCTGGCTGATCCTCCAGGGCCGCTTCGACGAAGGCGTAAAGTCGCTCGAATGGCTACGCCCTAAACACCACGATTCTCGCGCCGAGGCTTCTGCTATACTCGCGGCAATTGAGAAGGAAAGAGAGTCCAGCTCGGGTATCGGTTGGCTCGACATGTTCAACAACCCCGTCGATCGGCGACGCACTTTCCTCGCGGTTTCGGCCGTCCTGTTGCAAGCAGCCTCGGGATCCATGTTCATCATCGGTCAGTAATTCGACCATGTACATGATATCTTGCCGCGTTACTCACAGTCCTCAGCATACAAAGCCTACTTCCTGCAAATGGCCAAGGTAGCCGACCCCTTCGCCATGTCCAACGTGCTATCCGCCATCAGCATCGTAGCCTTCATCGCCAACTCGCTCATCGTCGTGCGCTACGGCAACCGCAGAGTCCTGCTCATGACGGGCCTGCTCGTCTGCGGCCTGCTGCAACTCATCATCGCCGTGGTGTTCCACAAGAAGCCCAACGCAAAGTCGACGGGCAAAGTCACCGTCGGCCTGACCGCCATCTACATGTTCAGCTACAACGGCATGATCTCGACTTACGCCTGGCTGTCTGGCGGCGAACTGCCTACCCAGCGTCTGCGCTCGCACACATTTGGTCTCGCGGCCAGCGCCGGCTTCGTCGGCGCGTGGCTCACAACCTTCACGGCGCCCTACTTCATCAACCCGGAAGCCATGAACTGGGGGCCGCGCTACGGCTTCATCTGGGCGCCTTCGTGCGCCATCGCCGCAACCTGGGTCTTTTTCTTCTTGCCTGAAGTCAAGAACCGGACGCTCGAGGAGATTGACGAGATGTTCGAGGCCAGACTGAGTGCGAGGAAATTTCACAAATACACGTGTGTGGGTATTGCGCGCGTGGATGACGAGGACAAGGCACGCGTGAGTGTGGAGAAAGAGAAGGAGATTGCCGTGTTTAGCAGTGAGAAGGTTGCTGCTGAGACGAGTGTGTCGAGGGATTAGCTAGCTCGGCTAGTAGGTGTGAAGCTGCTTTAGAGTATCAGAGAGCCCTACCTCTCTTAGTCTGAGAGTATGGGGTATCTTGAAGTGTATTGCTATATTTCCTCGCTTTGAATGCAAACAGCCAAAAAAATTCGTAGTCAAATCAACGCGCATAGTCCAGCTTGACGAACCTCCCTCACCAGCAAGTTTTTTTTTATCCAACAATGCGCTCAATAACGTAACGTCCGTCGCTCTCCTTTCGCTGTATCACCTTCCTGATACCAAGGCCCCAGCCCTGCGTTCCCTTCTCACCCACCAGACTCATTTCCACTTCACACTCGCGCTTATCTTTGGCTATGTCCACAATCTTGCCCTTTGGCTTGCTTGCTTGTAAAAGCGGCGTGTTCAACGCAATATTGATAATCTGAGGCCTTGTGACGGGAGTCAAAGCGTGCATTCTTGTCTTGGGCGTTTTGCTACCCTGGATGGTGGATTTGGCAGCGCGCTGCAGGTGTGAATAGATAATGTACCCGGGCATTTTGGCCGGCGGCGTGCGTGCCATCAAGGACGAGGGGTGTAAAAAGACGTATTTCGAGTACGGGTCGTCTGAGCGTTCCGTCTGCGATGAGAAAAGCGTGATATAGGGGACATCGATGGCGGTTTTCGGCTTCCGGGGGAGCTCGGGTGGTACAGGAGCGAGATCAGCGCGCATGGCGATTTGGTCGATGAAACCAGCTGCGCAGATCTGTGTGAGAATGTTGATGTTTCGCTCCGAAGGCGCTGGCAGCTTCGCTTGATATCCCCCAATTGCGGTCGGTCGATGTGCGCGGACAATGTTCGTAAGTTGGTGTCGAAGCCGGCTAGCTTCGTTCATGGCCTTTGCATTAAGAAACATGTCTTCGCAGAATCCCTGCGAGTCGGGCTCGTACGCGTAAGCACATATTGTGTTGCTAAGCTTGATACAATCGCTCTGCTTCGCATTGATGCTCATCTTTGCTTGTGCAGCGTTGTAAGCCTTCCGTAGCCGTGAGCGCTCCTCGGCTTCGATGTTGTCTTGCTCCGTGCGAATGGCATCAGGATCTTTCGTAGGCTCCCGCAGTCCAAGTTTATTTTCGGGTATGATGAGCTCTGGTACGGACAAGGCAGCGACCAATGCAATGGTTTCGGCCACAAGGTTCTGGGCAACGCCCATTGCGACCATCCGAGCGAAGCGTGGGTTGAGGGGATACAGAGATAGCTCATGACCAAGCTTGGTGACTTTGCCATCTACTGACAACGCGCCCAAATACGAAAGCAAATTCTCGGCCTTTTGTAAGCTTTCGCGATCGGGAGGTGTCGGAAAAGGAAAGTTGATGACGGGAGCACCCATGCTCTTCAACTGTAGTACCACGCCCTCTAGTGGCGTTCCTGAGATTTCCGGTGCAGCATACTCCTCAAAGTCGCGCTCAAATAATGCAGACGAGTACAGGCGGTAGCAATGACCAGGCCCAGTACGGCCCGCACGACCGGAACGCTGGTTCGCACTAGCTTTACTGATCCAACCCACTTCGAAGCTCTGCACGCCTGTGACGGGGTCGTACTTTTTTTCCTTTGCCCTTCCACAATCAAAGACATAGCGGATACCAGGTATCGTTAAACTGGTTTCTGCCACGTTTGTAGAAAGGACAATCAAGCGAGAGCCATCGGGAGGCGGTTCGAAGATACGCAACTGTTGGTTAGTGGGCAGCTGTGAGTAGAGAGGCAAAACATGGATGTTCATGACGGTCTCTTCGGGCTTCTCTTCGTCAATTTCAAACTCCTTGTCGTCTTCATCGTCAAGACCCATGATCATGGAACCTTCGGAGTCTGAGCCATCCTCGTCCTCATACTCGATTGACTTGGTCGGTGCACCCAACTCAATATCTTCAACCTCTAGTGGTGTTTCTGCTGGGGAGACGACGACTTTTCCAGCCTTCACTTCTTTGCCTTGGGTGGAAGGGAAAGCTTGCTTCAGCTTCTTTGCGAGCTGCGAGATCTCGTTCTGTCCGGTGAGGAAGACCAGCATACCGCCCTTGGGCAGCTTTCGATGGCCCCTACATACCTTCCGATACATTTCTTCGACATAGTCACGTTGGGTGCGACGGGCGAAGTGGTTGACCACAGAGTACTGGCGGCCTTCTGCCTTGATAAGCGGTGGAGGCTCACTGCGGAATAAGCGCTTGTTTTCCGTGAAATCCGAAATTCGCAAAGTGGCCGACATGATGATTAGCTTGAGAGGCGTGTTCTTTGGATCTTCCTTGACCATCTGAGCTCGAAGGTCAACAATTCTGCTGAGCATGCCAATCAAAATGTCCGTGTTGACGCTACGCTCGTGAGCCTCATCAATGACGATTGCCGAGTATTTTGTCAAGACGAAATCCTGCGTAATCTCTCGGAGCAATACACCATCAGTCATGAACTTGATGGCGGTTTTGGCGCTTGTCGATGTGTCGAAGCGAATCTGATAGGCTACTTTAGATCCTTGGTCACCCAGTTCATCTCCAACGCGTTTGGCCATGCTGACCGCGGCTACACGGCGTGGCTGGGTGACTCCGATCATGCCAGGTGTTGGTCCATCTGGTGCTCCATATCCTGACTCGAATAGGAATTGCGGCACTTGGGTAGTTTTACCGCTACCTGTGGAACCCCAAACTACCACCACGTCGTTGTTGTGTACTGCCTCCATAATCTTTTGTTCTTCCGCTACAACTGGTAACTGCATTCTGGATTGCTGTACTTCGACTGATCGATCGACGTTTACGTTGAAAGCCTTACGGGTAGCATCGGTTGTAGTCTTGGTTTCGAGTTCTGGGGGCAGAGGATCCTGTTCGGGTGCTCGAGGTTTGAAGTTTGCCGGCGCCGGTGCGAAAGAGAGTTGATTAGTTGGAGTAAAGCCTACTTGCTCATTCCTCTGCTGTGTCGCCCAAGCCTTGAAAGCTGACGCCCTTTCCTTCTTTGCAAGCTTGTTGTCTTCGTCCGGACTGGTATCGCTCTCATCTTCCGAGTCCTCTTCTGATTCACTTGACTCTGACCCTGACGCGTCTTCAGAACCAGAACCAGAACGCTCGGACTCAGCGCTGGAAGTCTCGGAATCCTCGTCCTCGTTCTCGCTGTGGCTGTCCTCGTCTGAACTGAATCCCTCCCATTCTACTTCTTCTTCGATCTGGGCAGGCTTCGCGTTCTGGCCTTTCCGACGCTTTCGGACCTGTATTACGGGCTTGCCTGAGTCGTCCAATTCCAGAGGCCTCTTTAGTCCACTTCCAAATAGCCCATTTGTCTGTCGTGGTACCGCAAAAACCTCGGGTGTAGGTTGACGAGCATCGGCGTCTGGCTCAGACGGTGACGGTGATTGTGCGCGTTGTTGCGAAATGCTGTGGGCTGGTTCTGGAGGAGCTTGCCGTACAGCAGGCTTGGGTACGGATTGGGAAATAGGCTTCGGGGCTGGCGCTTCGTCGTCTGAGGCATCATGCTCAATCTCTTTGACTTCATGCTCCTCTAGTAGCAATCCCTCGTTCTTGTCCACATCTATACCAGCCCTGCTTTCAGCCAGCGCACGTCTCAACGCCTCTTTCTTGGTATCCGCTCCCCGACCGAGCTTCTTGAAGCTCTGGAACAGGCTGGTGTCGACTTTCTGGGAAGCAAGCTTTTTCAGCAGCTCCAGATTCTCCTCTTTTTTGAGTTTTGTATCCTGTGCGAATAGCCCTGTCAGCAGCTGCGAAGCAAAACGGGCGCGAAGCGAGCGCGCCGCAGACGACAAATCGCATCAAGGCATGGGCTGACTTACAATGTATTTGTCGAGGCGCTTTTTCTTCTTGGCAGACATTTTACCTTGGGCTTCGCGCGTGAGCTCTTCCTTCAGCGCAGCCTTTTTCGCATTGCGTTCCCGTTGCTCGACGGGCAGAATCTCAGCGGCGTTGGCGTCGTCGGCGCCATTGCTCGTGTCGACAGCATTCTTGCGGCGAGCAAGGACTTTGTGTTTTCGCTGTCGAGGCACGAACTTGGGCATGCTGGCGGTGATGGCGGCGAAGTCTGCTCGCATGCGCTCGAAATAATTTTGGCGGGGATCAGACGCTAGCGCCAACTCTCCGCATCACTCCCGCGGCGGCCAGGACGCAGGCGCCAGCTCTCCCACGTCCGAACACGAACACGGCTTCTCTTGAAATCTAGGCCGGAAAGCTTGAATTGGTTCAATACGTCATGGCGACAGCACTCAGTTCAGACGACTATGTTGTGACGCCTTCAGCGTATCCCGCGCGCACGAATACCGACACCGTCACAATCAACGGCCTGACTACGACGGCAAAGACAGTCAATTTCGCGGACAAGATTGTCATCACGGTCACACAGAATGGGCGGTTGGCACACTGGGTATGGAGAGACATATAGGTCCATGTTCAAGCAAGCAGGGCTAACCACGACCCCGCAGGTGCATGTCCCTCTTGACATTGCTGCGACCGATGCTTCGGCAATCTCAAGCTCATTCCTCGATCGCGACGAACAAGACGCCAACTCGGACCTCCTTCCCATGCACCACTTGACGGCTACCACTGTACTCGGCGGCACGGTTGCCCCGCTCGACACACTCGGTCAGACGCTTGCAACCCAAGTGGCCAGCGCCATCAAGCAGCGCAACGAAAGGGAGTCTCGGATGGTTGTGTTTGGCATGGGATTAGACAAGAGCATGATGGAGAGAGAAGCATTCAGTGAGCTGGTTGGATTGGTTCTGGGAGTAGTATAAAACGTCGTATATTGAGTCGCGCGGGTCCAGGCCAGCAGTCCCGGCGATGCGCGGCATGATCTATATGGTATCCTCGAGCGCAATTGCTTCTCGATCAAACGTTGGGTATGTCCTTCACCACTCCCCTCTGTGCCCGTCGTCCAACTTGTGCGCCGTTCCCATGCTAACCCAATTGTAGTTCCAGAACGTCGCCCAATGCAAAATCAGCCCCGACCGGACATTACACATTGTCGCGCAGCTTGTTGATCAACACATCCACTGATTGCATGTCATTGGCGTCGAGCTTTTCTTGAGGCTTCAACTCGGCAGGCATGTGCTCGAGCGCGGCGTCGAGCGCGGCCTGGAAATTGCGGACGGATGACGAGAGGGCGAAAATGGCCTTCTTGCGGACCTTTTTGTCCTCGTCTGAAGTTGCCATGCGGACTAGCGTGGGGATGGCGCCGACGACCAGGAGCTGCAATTGGTTAGCATCTTGCATCGAGGGTTGTGTATGTCGTGATGCACTTACTCGCTCTTGTGTCCGGATGTTGTTCTGCACAGCGGTGCCGCAACACCATGCGGCGTAGAACCTCAGGTCGGGCTCTTTGTGTTGGAGCTGCTCGATCAAGGGCGTCCACAGGCCCAGGTTCTCGATGTTGTTTGCATTGTCGAGATTCTCAATGAGCTGCTCAAAGTTGTCGAATGCCGTGGTGCGGTGTTCCAATTCGGCTTCTTCGTTGCGGATGACCTGCATGCTCTCCTGCATCAATTCGGCGTCCGAGGGGCCAGACATGCCAGTAACGAGCTGGCGCAGCGCCTCGGCGTCAATCTGAGTCGCGGGCTGATCTGCAGAGGCGCCATGGGTGCGCGAGGCCTGGGAGTTTTGGATTCCCCACTTGAGGAGGTTGTTCAGTCCTGGGTCGGTCATGGCTGCTGGGATGCGTGTGTGCGGAGTTCAGTGTTGTGTGCGTGTGTGCGTGTGTGTGTGGAGGAGGGGCGTGGTGTCGCGGGCCATGGAGAAGTTGAAATAATTTTGGCGCGGGACGTATGACGCTGGTTGCGCCGGCGGCGTGCGAGGGGGACCAGCACCTTCGCGGGCCTTCCATGGCTCGCAGCTGCCGGCCCCGCGACCACAGCCATGGCATTGCGTCGGGGCAAGGCATGGATGTGCTCTGCGCCACGGGATAGCATGGCATAGCACGCCTGTGTCGCCTGGCATGCACATGTGTGGCCGCGGGCGTGGGCGTGGGCGTGGGCGTGGGCGTGGGCGTGGGCGTGGGCGTGGGCGTGGGCGTCACAGCACGGCGTGTGCTCGTTTGCCTAGGTACGCAGCTGGCCCCGCTACCCCTCATTGCACGTGACGGGCCGGATCGGGCGTGGGCTGGCGGGGGCAGGCGGGGGCAGGGCGAGTTGGCGGTGAGCAGGCCGCGGATGGCGGAAGCACAGGATGGCTGGGGATGCTCAGCACGCCCAAGTTATGCATCGCCAGTGCAGTGCCAGCAGCTGCCAGCCAGCACAAGCCGGCGAGAACACGTAGTGCGTGGTGGAGTGCCGCCACTCTGTCACGACAACGACAAGGCCATTGTCGCCGTGCGCCAAGCGCCTGTGAGGGCTGCCTGGCCCGGCGGTCTGCCACTACCCTTGGTGACGTGCGTGGACAACACTGCCCGTCACTATCGAGCTACTCTCTGTGTACGCCGTGGCGGCAGCGCTTGCGTACACCACCAGCGTGCCGCGCACCAAAAAACAGCACGCCCAGCGTCGCCGCCTGGACAAGGCAGCCTCGCGGTGCACGCGGCCGGCGGCGTATAAGGCCTCGCTCGCCGTGTGCGGTGAGGTCCAATGTACACAAATCACAAATCCATCCATCCCCCTTTGGTTTGGGAGCCGCCCGTTCGTGCAAAGCCGCGCTCGCTCCTGTGCTCCTGCTCCTGCCACCCCGCTAAATCTGGGCAAGGCCGACCCGCTTATTTAGCACACCCAGTTCTTGCCTGGCACACAAGAACCTCACCCTCAACACCGCCCGCTGCAACCTGGTAATCACGCCCGCCGCCCTCTTCTCCTCCTGAGCACCCCCCCCCAGCTCAAGCTCCATCTCGACGCTCCTGTGCTGACGCTCAATTGCCCCAGCCACTCTGCATCACCACCTGTCCGCTACTCCACGTCTACCTTAATCTCTCCCTAATCAAGCACTCATCATGGAGGGTAAGCAAGCTGAGCCCCTACTGCCCCGTCGGCTGCCCATCGCCGCCCGCCTCGCCCTCTATCTCAATCAACTCAGCTAACCGCCCCGTGTCCCTACAGAGGAAGTCGCAGCCCTCGTCATCGACAATGGGTGAGTGGGAATGCCCCCCCATGGCAAACACACGCCATCCCTGCGGTGGAGGGGCTGTCCGCCCTAGCAGCGCCCGCATGCCCTCGAAGCCGCACCCCAGCGCCCTCGCCAGCTGCGCGCGAGGCACCGCTACAGAATGGACGTGAGCTGACAATTGACAGTTCGGGTATGTGCAAGGCCGGTTTCGCCGGTGACGATGCGCCCCGAGCAGTCTTCCGTAAGTAGCCTCGATACCTGACTCCCCCGGCCCACGCTGCACCCGAGAGCGGTGCCGCGAGCCTGGAAAAACTCGTTCTGACAGCTCTGCAGCTTCCATTGTCGGCCGACCGCGTCACCATGGGTACGAACCAAGCTCCCCTAGTGTTCCTCTCGCCGTCATCCGCAAGCTGACAAACATGGCAGTATCATGATTGGCATGGGCCAGAAGGACTCATATGTCGGTGATGAGGCACAGTCAAAGCGTGGTATCCTGACTCTGCGATACCCCATTGAGCACGGTGTCGTTACCAACTGGGACGACATGGAGAAGATTTGGCACCACACCTTCTACAACGAGCTGCGTGTCGCTCCTGAGGAGCACCCCGTTCTGCTCACCGAGGCGCCCATCAACCCCAAGTCCAACCGTGAGAAGATGACACAGATTGTCTTTGAGACGTTCAACGCCCCCGCCTTCTACGTCTCCATCCAGGCCGTCCTGTCCCTGTACGCCTCTGGACGTACCACCGGTATCGTGCTCGACTCCGGTGACGGTGTCACCCACGTTGTCCCCATTTACGAGGGTTTCGCTCTTCCCCACGCCATCTCGCGTGTCGACATGGCTGGTCGTGACCTGACTGACTACCTCATGAAGATTCTGGCCGAGCGCGGTTACACCTTCTCCACGACTGCCGAGCGAGAAATCGTCCGTGACATCAAGGAGAAGCTCTGCTATGTCGCTCTCGACTTTGAGCAGGAGATCCAGACCGCTAGCCAGTCGTCCAGCTTGGAGAAGTCTTACGAGCTTCCTGACGGACAGGTCATCACCATTGGAAACGAGCGTTTCCGCGCTCCCGAGGCGCTCTTCCAGCCTTCGGTCCTGGGTCTTGAGAGCGGTGGTATCCACGTCACCACTTTCAACTCCATCATGAAGTGCGATGTCGATGTCAGGAAAGACCTGTACGGCAACATTGTCATGGTATGTTACACTGCGCACAAATTCACCCAGATTCACGCACAGGCAGCTAACACAGACTTAGTCTGGTGGCACTACCATGTACCCCGGTATCTCCGACCGCATGCAGAAGGAAATCACCGCCCTCGCCCCCTCCTCGATGAAGGTCAAGATCATCGCTCCTCCCGAGCGCAAGTACTCGGTCTGGATCGGTGGTTCCATTCTTGCCTCGCTCTCCACCTTCCAGCAGATGTGGATCTCAAAGCAGGAGTACGACGAGAGCGGTCCCTCCATTGTCCACCGCAAGTGCTTCTAAGGTACTGGCAATCACGCATCCAAGCAATTCATTGGCTGACGTCTTGGCTGTTAGCGTATTCGTGCGTACGGTTCTCGAGATCATGACAAGCCTAATAGCGGGTGCATCCGCGTATTGGTGCCCTGCTATTCCTGGGTTTCATACATGTCGGTTGTCCACAAAATAGCGCAACGGGCCAATGGTTGGGTGTTTGAGTTATGGAGGAGCTTGGGCTCACACATGGGGTGTATTAAGGACCTTAAGATTGTAGCTTAGAGCCTATGGACACTTTATATCCCTTAGAAACGTGCGTTGCCCAAGTGAGGTTTGCAACAGCATCGCAACCAGTGCGCCCGCAAAGACGATTGACTTAATACACGATGCCATGATGTGACATGTTGCACGCACACGGTATGCCCAAGGTGGGCGCCCAGGTGTGTTGGCGCAGCTGGATTCGACAGCATTGGAAGCCTAACGGTTGTCAGCCTCTTTACATCCCTGCTAGCGTGTGTACAGACATTGGTGGGCCGGTGAGGCACCCAGCGACGCGTTACTTCACACACTGCTCCAAATCGCATCTCGTACGGCTTCGACATGCCCATGCTTGCTTTTGCGTGAGCTGATTCCCAATCAACTAGCTTCTGGTCCCCGCGGCCTTGTTTACACGCCAAGTCTGTTGCTCTGCGATACAGCCTTGCATGAGTCAACGCGCCTCCATCCGGACGTGTATCAGTTACTGAAATTCTCTTCAAGCTTCATCTGCGCGCTGCACTGATTACGACAATGCCGCCAGCATCTAGCATAGGCAACAGATCGCCATCTCTCAAAGCCGATGACGAAACAGCGCCCCTTTTGTCCTATGTAGAGCCTGCGCCTATAGCAGAACCCTACGACCATCCAAACCAGCTCCACCAAAGTCAGAATGGACAGCATGCCAACTATGATGAGGATGAAGATCGGCCGCTTCCAAAGGCCCAAGTCTTTCTTCTGTGCTTTGCGAGCTGTGTCGCTCCCATCGCCTTCTTCTCCATTATCCCTTACATCACTTTCATGATTGAGAGAGTGGGCGGCGTCAACAAGGAAGATGTCGGCTTCTACGCAGGCCTGACGGAAAGCCTATTCAGCGCGACTCAGATGTGTGTCATGATTCTATGGGGCAAGGTAGGCAATTTGTGCGCTACCTGGTTGATGAGGATAGCATTGCTGATCCAGCTACTAGGCCTCTGATCGATATGGAAGAAAGCCGGTATTGGTCATATCACTGTTCGGACTGGCATTTGCTACCGCACTCTTTGGTCTGAGTCAATCTATATGGCAGATGATATTCTTCAGGTGCATCGCTGGTGTCTTTGCCGGCACCGTGGTTACCGTGCGAGCCATGCTTTCCGAAAACAGCACTAAGCACACGCAAGCGCGCATCTTTAGTTTCTTCGCCTTCTTCAACAATCTTGGCATGTTCTTGGGGCCTCTGATTGGTAAGTACCGTGGAAGCTTATGTCAATGACTACATACTAACCAACAACTACAGGTGGCGCACTAGAGCGCCCAGCTGACAAGTTTCCTTCGACCTTTGGCAGAGTACAATTCTGGCACGACTATCCTTATGCGCTGCCAAACGTTGTTATTGCAGCAATCGGTCTTGTTGTCGCCATTTCCACCCTGCTGTTTGTGAAAGAGACCCTGCATGTTCATGGTGACAAGAAGAGCACCAAGTCCAGCATGTCTATTTGGGAACTACTCAAGTATCCTGGTGTCATGCCCGTGCTTCTCATATACAACTACGTAATGCTTCTGGCATACACTTTCACGGCTGTATTTCCAGTAACCCAATACACGCCAGTGAAATTGGGTGGCTTTGGTTTCTCGCCCGGTTACATTGCCGCAAGTACAGGTTTAAATGGTATTTCCCAGGCGATATGGCTATTGCTTGTATTCCCTTTCCTCCACAAGCGCATTGGTACCGGTGGTTTGCTTTCGCTGTGCGCAGTTGCATGGCCGGTTCTTTTCGCTGCTTTTCCAGTGTCCAACTTCTTGCTTCGACATGGCCAAACTACCCTCTTTTGGGCCACTGTACCACCCATGCTGGCCTTTTTCTGTGGAGTTTCAATGGCATTCAGTAAGTACTCGTTGGTCTTCATTCCGGATGACGCTAATGTCCATATCAGCCTGTGTACAACTTGCACTCAACGACATCTCGCCCTCTCCCGAGACTCTTGGAACCATAAACGCTATTGCGCTTGCGGCTCAAAGCGGTCTTCGATCTGTTGCTCCTGCGGTTGCGACGAGTTTGTATGCCATTGGTGTCAAATATCGCATCCTAGATGGTCAGCTATTCTGGCTTTGCCAGGTCATCCTGGCGTGTGGGCTCTTTGCAGTCTTGCGATTCCTCCCAGCCAAGGCAAGAGGCGATGTAAAGTTCAAGTTATCGAACGGCGGTGCATGATTGATGACTTGGAGTGAGGAAAACGTCACCACTCCTTTACGTGGAGTGCAAAAGTCGAAAGAATTGGAGTCGAAAGGATTGCAGGGATACAAAAGTGTCGTGGCTCTGTACTGTGTTGCCAATCAAGTATTTCACACTTGCGGAAACCTGTGCTTTCAGATCAAGAATCGTTAAAAGGAGAAGTTGAATGTGTTGTTAATGACTGGTCAATTATTGCAGTTTTATATATCAATACCAAACGTCAACTTCATACCACATTGCTCTCCACACTCGCAATCACTAAAACAGTCCTCACTTTCCTCAAACCTTCCAACGAATACCAAGCATTACCATACCCTTGCCATCTCTCTGGTATATGCATTGTCAAATTGTTCTATGCATCCACACACTGCGGTCAAATATTAGACATGGAGAATTCAGCGCAGCCACTCACCCCGCTATTAACATATCATGGTTCCAGAGTAACTACTATAAAAGAAGGGAATGAGCAAAACTAAAACTTTCACCCATGCTGTTCTCGCGGGGCTAATACACGTCCACTGTTCGATGAGCACTGGCAAAGGCCAAGTTGTACGCTACTGATAGTAAGATGTGTCGAGTGTGATGGCTTACGCTCTTTCTAAATCCTTGTATTTGTTGTACAAGTGATTTCGACGCGCGAACATAGTGGCTTTCCCAACGCAGGAAAGTATACAATAAAAGACAGCAGTGAGCTGGGTACCTATGCTCTATCTGTACCGGGGACACAACAAGTAGGTAGTAACGTACACTATGAATATCGACAAAGAGCGATAGCCTTTGGCAAGCAACCACTGATAACTGTTCAGATATAGGCTTGCATTTGGAGAATACGGTCAGTGGCGTATCATTGTCGCTAAATCTCTTTGAATGGTCATCCGCAATTCCAATATGAATGTTCGGTTTTTCAGGGACTGAGAGTGGTATCGCGACCAAGGTACAAGCAGAGTGTATCTTCCCGCATGCTGGTGCCCACACAGCAGCCAACTCAGCGTGAAATCTTATTTTATTTTATTTTTCTTCAAGAGGCAACGCAGCACATTCTCGACAAAAGCATATATATATATATATATATATATAGTGTCCATGACAGTATACTGTCATTCTCCGATGCCAGGAATAAGAACCCGAATCAAGTCAGCAGCATGCGGCTCAAATGCGATAGGTACCAGACTATCTTTGTCTATTCTGGTGATTTTTTGTTCGAGGCTACACAGTGTATGCGCACTTTATTCTCTTCGAGCTGTTAGAATACGTATTGGACTCACGAGTGATTTCGACGTGTTTATGCAGCGGATTTCACAATTTAATAGAGTATACGATGGAAGATAGGGGGGATGTCGTGGACCTTCGGCACGCTAAGCAGGCAGTAATGTACACTGTGCATGTTTAAGAAGGTTAGAGTTGGTAGTTTGTTGGAGGACATGAGTAGAAGTCCATGATAACGCGTCTCAGTGTGTGTGTGTGGATGCGGATTTTGGTGTTGCTGAGTTTTGTCTTTGGGGAGATACATGTTGTGCTGTTTTTTTTAGGTGGAGAAGGATGTGTAGAGAATCTGCATAGTCGGCTAGAAAATATGGGTGTAGGATATTCTCACTATAAGCTATATCGTGAATACGTACGGGACAGGACAGCAACTCTTTCATGTCCGAGGCCGGCAACTCGAAGGGCAATTCGCTTGGGCTAGAATACGCATCTCGACTCTGAGCTTAGCCTGGTATACTGCACGGAGTGTTCATGTGGGCACATGGCTCGTATATTCAATGAATTCAAGTCCCGAATCAATTGATTCTCAGCTCTCTGATGAGGCTGAACAATCGGAGAAGAGTCAGAGAGAAACGTTCATAGCGACGGCGGCAGAACGCCGCGCTAGCTCTGTCGATGGGGAGTCACGAGGATGGATACTCACATATATACAGCGTAAATTATATATGAAAAACAGCAGGACACGTGAGTTGTTCTAACACTATCTTCAGGGAAAGTGATAGTTCAGTGTTGCCTTTGCGGAATCCAAAGTGTGGACCTGTTCAGGCGCCACGCACTTGTTGTGAATCTAGATCTAGCAAGCTTTCGCTTCATAGCCGTCGAGGACACTTGTTTCGAATCTGCAATTGGTGCCTTTGGATTGGTCTTGTGTTCTGGTGCCCAACCGCGGTAGGTTGCGAAACGGTCGCAAGTCGTTTACAGAGAACATGTTGACCTTGCGCAGGCCACTCATCTCCAAATACTATGCTTCAGCTAGTAGGGATCACGACTGATCTATTACAGTGTGTATATATGACCTCAGTATGTGATAGAAAGCGCAGAATGCTGTGTTGTCCACACAATGGTTTCCGCAAGAATAAAGTCGCGAACTCAACCACTACAGTAGGGCTACCACGGTACGCGACACGATTATCGCACCTCTCCGTGCTCACAAGGCTGAAAAACGCTGTCTTGTTTGGCATGAATGGGTTAGCGAGATGCAGGATGGTATTTGTGAGAATAGTTAGTTGGAAATCAAGATGATAGTTTTACGTATAATGGATTTTGGGCATGTAATCATGGATCTGAAGGTGCTTGCGATGCTCGTTTCGGTCCGCTTTCAAGGGACCAAGAGCGAGGTGCTATCTTAGATACATAATTGAGCTATTGTTCATTTGCTTCCAGCAGTGTTGGTGGCTTGAGTGTGAAGTAGTGGATTTGGACGTGAGTGGACATGTCGAAGCTCGAACTTCCGAGTAGATTGTTGTGATGGCAAGTATGAGAATACTAAGGCAAAGAGTACTTTTGGACTCTGAGTGTTGAAATTTTTTCACTCTTCTCAGCCATTATAGTACTCAAAGACTTCTAACTTGCGGACCCAGATATGTGCACTAATCAGCATCTATCGGTCATTTTCTATCCTTTCATGCCAATATTCACAGCTGTAATTTTTCCATAAAAATACTTCTAGATCATATGCAGCATCACCGGTCTAATGGGCCGAAGACATAAAAATCAGTCAGACGTTAGTAGACTGGCGTCTCGCTTGGCTAACTTGTTCGGCTGTAGACAGCACCACACACTCGACTTGGTCTTGTGCCTCACACTTTGAAATTTCACAGCATCGAATCCCGCATGTCTTTTCACCACTCCCTCGGATACCCGGTATTACTTGGCCGCGTGGAACCTTTACTGTTGCCTGAACCTACCAGATGACTTCCTTGAGCTGCTGGGCTCGGCGTATGCTCTTGTCGTCTGCGGACTATGCACCGGAAGGCTGTACAGCTGCTTCACAAGGACTGCGCCTTGTTTGACTGAACTGGATAATATGGAAACTCTCGAGGCGCAGTGAGGCGCAGCTTGGTGGACGCGCATGCTGACACAACAAGCTGCTCGTACCTTGACGAACGTTATCGTCGTATCGGAATTGTCAAGTCCGCGGCACTATGCGATGGTTTTTTTAACCTCCGATCATCCATCTTAGAGCCGAATTGTCGGACCTGTATTGACCGTAAGGCCGACGCTCGGAGAATGGACCCATGGTTTCCTCCATGTGCTATCTATCGGATCCCACGCGCCGGACATGGAGGCCATCAGCTGGAAAAAATCCGGAACTCACACCACCATTCGCACTGACTGAGGCATTTTGGGCCAGGCCGTGTTTGGCCAACATAGTAATCGACGGCATGTCACGACTTCGCCTAACGGATGTGGCGGATACGGGAAGCACTTGCCAAGGCGTGGTGTTTCCTCGAGAGTTTGGTAATAGAGCAAGATACATTGGAGTGTACAGGAGCACTGGATGATCCTCGGCCCCTGCATTGTAGGCTTAGGAGCTACGTGTCCAAGAGGAGGCTTTGTTGCGACTAGAGGGACCAACCAAAGGGGACAGTGCGCCTTGTCCAAAGGAAACCTTGGCATCAGCAAAGCCCCTTATCCACGTCTACCCAGTCTGATTGGAAGGCATTATTCAGGCTTACGAACTTTGACCTGCAGAAACGGGAAGCGAACACAGCAGGTAAACAGCGAGATTCGTATACATAACTCTATGCCGCGCATTCCGAGCGCATCCGAGCATAAACGGGAAATGTGCTCGATTGGCGAGCAAAATCCTACCGACATACTGGGAACCATTTTTTACTACAGGGAATGCCAGATCTACATAGTACATACCGCCAACCTGCAAACTATGGCTAAACTGGGTAATACTCGGCGTCTTGGGGATCTTGGCCTGGGTTGCACTCAGGCTGATAGCGTGGTTCTATTGGCAACAACAAGACGCAGAGCCGTCGTATCAACACGTCGCAATTCGACTTACGAAGCCAATCTCTCTGGTCACCGCCGCTAGATTGCGTACTCTGGAATGCACTGCCGCTTAGGAAGGGCGAGTAATCGGCAATTCGAACACATACGCTGATTGGCTGATTGGGGTGTGAAAAAGAAATTTTTTTGGTCAATATGTATGCAACAGTGACGGATTGCCAAGATTGGATACCTGGTACATGGCACCTGTGCAGATTGCAAGTACGCAATTGATTGGAATGGTCGAGGCCATGGAAAGACTTCATTTGGACAAGATGATTCCATTGGGGCAGAAAGATTTCACTGGGATGGAGATTTGATTTGAACAGAATGACTTGATTTGGAAACAAATCACTGGACAAAGATTTCACTGGACAACGATTCACTGGACAAAGATGCACTGGACACGGGGTGCAGTCGGACATGTCACCCCAGAGGCTTGCATCCCCAAAGGTTTGCATCCCCAAAGGTTTGCATCCCCAGACTTTGCAAGGCTGCACGGAAGGCAGAATCTTGGATAGAGCCCAAGTCTGAGAGCCGTCTAGGATGCCTTGGGTAGCATCTTGCCAAGCAGTTAGCATGGGCGGTATTGAAGCCATAGACCATGTGATTTGGATGCATGAGGCAGCGCTCAAACCACGACGCGTAGATGGCATGGTCACAAGGTTGAACGCGGTGGTCAAACAGGCGCATATCCAGGATAGACATGCTTTGTTAATTGCGTCAAGTGCTGGCGCGTACAACTGAGTGTCGATGTCTTGGCCAGCGGGCTTGCTGGCTGTGACCAGTTGGTTGGAGGAAGGTTGCTTGGCAGAGAGGCTGTGATGGAAGCACACCATCTCTGTAACATTTTTGCCTCTGGTCCCAAGTTTCATGTTAAAACAAGCAACGATGATCGTAACTGAAGGTAGAAGATGTCTTTGTAGCAGTTGACAGCAGGTGATGCAGACCAGGCTCTTGATTGGCACCGGGTCTGTTACACCTCCAACGTGTAAATTCAAATTCGACATGTCATGATAACATGAGGTGTCGTGGGTTGCAGGCATTTCCCTGTCTCGGCCGTCTAGAAAGACGCGGGTTTCTTCCATCAAGCATGTATCCCTGGGAGACATCATGGGTAAATCGCAAATCACATCGCATTCACCCGGGGGGGAAACACATCCCCGGTTTCAGTGCAGCAGCAGCATTAGCATTCCCCACACAGCCTCTGAACGCGTTGTATACCCAAGATGCCAGCCAGCCAGCCAACCAGACAGTTTATCACACAGAGACAGACCGGCACGATTGCCACAGCAGCTGGGGGTCTTGGCATCATGACCAGTAACAGACATGGAGCAGGCAGCTTGCTAACGGCCCGTTTGGGTGGCCATGGAGCCGCTTCCGCACGTGCATATGCTCCGGCCACGCATCCACACGTCTCCCCTACCCTGAGCACTTGGCCTTACCTGGACCATCAACGCTACCTATGACGTGCTCTCAAGCACGGAGGCCGAAACACGTGCGAGGCATGCTCTGCGCTGGCTCTTGGCCACGACTCGCTTATCTCAGCCCACGTCTTTTTCCGCAAAACCGCCCCACCCATCCACACACACACTTCCACGCGCCGAAACGAGCAAAGACGAGAAGTGGCAAGACGAGAAAGAGAAGGAGGGGAAAAAAAAAAGAGAGAGAGAGACACGACATCGGCGCAATGACATCACATGCGGCTTAATCAAAGAACGCACAGCGGGATACTCATTCCGCGTGTGTTGTCGTGGATCGGCAGGCCCCCTTCCGACCGAAAAAAGTGGTTGGGGAGGGTGGTTGGCATGGCTGACTGGCTGACTGGCTGGGCTGACTGGCCTGGGGGGGCTGGACGGGGCGGGTTTTTGGCACCAAGGAGGGCCGAAAAGACAGCGAGCGAGTAAGAGCAAAGCGGCATGTCGAAGCAAGACGAAAGAGAAGGAAGAAAGAGGAATAACCCCATGGGCCTAGTAATTGCCTTCCCCCAGAAAGGGGAGACAGACAGACAGATACGACGACCACGACGACGACCAAGTCGCCAACAAAACGGCTGCGGGCTGGCCGATCCAACGTCATGCTGCTACCATATGTACGCTACGTAGTTTTGCACGCGCCATGCGCCATGCGTATTGGGTCTTGGATTCGTATTCTCTCTTTCTTTCTCTCGTCTTGTCCCCATGCACACACACACATACTATGGAGTAACTCTGGCTGTCTATCTGTTTCTCCGCGCCCGCGCACGCACGCACGCACGTCCAGCCGTCGAGAGTTTTTTTTTGTGCACAAACACAACAATTACACACAACACACAACCCCTGCGTAGCTGTGCTTCTAGATTAGCAATAGCAGCCCTGGCATTATCGAATTTCTTTTTCTCTCTCTCGCTCTTTTTTTTCTTTCTCATGGCACTAAGACAATCAAACTAACGATTTCCAACCCCGAAACTATCACCTATAACCCGTGTCTGATATATATTCGCATATTCCACTTTGTCCCTTTCCTAATCTCGTTCTAGACAAACGCCGTACCGGAAATGGGGGTGTGGAGGTAAACAGAATGGGAAATTGAGAAGGGCTACTTCTTTTGCTCACAGGGGGGGAGGGGGGGGGGCATGGTGGTTTAGTTTAGTTTTTTTTTGCCTTTCCAACGTTAACGGGGGGAGCTTGGACGAACAAAAAGAAAGCTCGGTTGCCAACAACCCGTTGTACGTGTTCATAGTATACCGTGTGTTGCTATACACATAGCATCCCAGGCTAAAAGCATGAGAATGGCAAGTCGCATGAACCTGCTATGTGGGGGAGAAACATGCAAAAAAAAGCGACAACGCAACAGGAAAAAAAACTGGACAGAAAAGGGGCGGGGCTGCAGGGCGGGTAAGCTCTCTCGCAGTACTCTCGTTAGTCCCATCACACGCAATTAAAAAAAAGTCTCTTGAAACCAACTTACACCTAGTAATAAGAAAGTGATTGGGCTTACACTTTGCTACACGCCAACCAACCGACCAACTTAATTGAAGGGGGGCTAGATGCGACAAAATCGAAAAAACAAAAAACGGTTCATGGTTACATGGCCCATACAGTAAGCGGGCTCAAAAAAGAGAAGAGAATAATAATCTCCCGTCCCCGTGGCATGTCGGAAAGGCAGCCGAGGATCCAATCAGCGATCGAGTGCCACTGACTCTCTTGCACACACACACACACCCCAGGCGGGTATTACGAGGAAGATGGACAGACAGAGTTAAGACAGAGTGAGAGTGAGAAAGAGTCAGCATGGCGGTGACGAACTGTAACCAAGCCGAGTGCATCTCGTTCCGCATTTGTTGATTGTTATTGTTGTTATTATTGTTATTGTTATTGTTATTATCATCATCATCATCGTCGTCGCATCCACCATCGCTCTTCCATGCAAGCATATTTTGCCAGTCCAAACCGGGGGGGGGGGAGCGGCGTTACGCCCGTTTCGCCCTGTGCGCGCGCGGCCGACTCACAGACAGACAGCGGGTGCACGTACATAGCATAGCATAGTCGATTAACGGAGATAGATGGCTGGTTTGTTTTTGGTCCCCTTCCTTTCATTCATCAGGCTACCCAATACTTACCAGACCAAGACATGTACGCGACGAGAGGAGGGAGAAGTAAAAAAAAATTAATACCCCCCACATCTCGGGTTGAACCTCGGCATACACCTAAGGTGCGCAGAGAGAGAGAGAGAGAGAGAGAGTGGGTGTGTGGGTGGATACATGGATGGATGGGGGAAATGGAGATTGGGGGGGGGCTCGATTCGAAGCAATTTGCGCGCGGGTGGGCGGGTTAGGATTGGGGATGGGGGCCATCAAGTGTGTGTGTGTGTGTGTGTGTGTGTGATTTGATTGCTTGCTTGCTTGATAAGTGAGTTGTGATTGCGCTAGACTACAGTAGGTGTAAGCCGAGGGAAAAAAGAGGGAAAAAGGGAAAAAAGAAAACCGCGCTATTGAAGTGTGGGGACATGCAGGCCAAGCGGGACAAAATGCAAAGGTCGCGAGGCCCCCCGAGAGTAAGTGGAGAACAGCCCGATGGAGGAAAACATCCTCTGTGCTCTCTCTCTCTCTCTAGTACACCTACAGTAGAAATCGCGACCCCGTTCGTAGTATTGAATACTTGCCGTGTTGCTATTCATAACACGGGAAAATCGATCATCCTATTTCGCATCCAGCTACGATAGCAACCAAAGAAAGAAAGAAAAAGAAAAAAAGACTTTATTGCTTTTTGCTTTTCCGTTGACTGCCTTACTCAGCGGGCTGCCGCAAAACTGCAAAGCAGAATGACCAAACTGGGGGGAGGGGGGGGGGGGTTGGGTTGGCGTTGCGACCATGCAAGTCAGCGATAGAGACGACCAGCAACAGAGATGGAGAGATCAGAGAGTGGCAATGTGTGTGTGTGTGTGTGTGTGTGTGTATTCGCTGCATCGCAAACATGTCGTCATGATGCTTCTTCTTCATCATCATCATCATCATCATCATCAGGACTACTGCTGCCCACTCCGGATAAAACTGCTGGTAACGAACAAATGCATGCATGCATGCAACCAATGGCTTTTCCAAACTGGACGCTTCGCCCCCATTGGCCCTCATCGTCGTCGTCGTCGTCGTGGCTTGCAGCTTGGCTGATACACTCCCCCGCATCCTGAAGCCCGCCAAAGAAGTTTCCCCCGCCAAAAAGAGCCCATGCACATGTGCTTGCTTGCTTACCGTCGACATTGCCTAGTCCCCAGTTGCCAGACAGACTAGATTGCATACATGGCTTGCTTGCTTGCTTGCTTGACCACGCCATTCTCCAAACTCCCGCAAATCATCCCGAGCCACCAGCGCCAAGGGCTAGGGTGAAAATTTGACCCGCCTCCTTCATCCCACGCAATGTCTGCTGCTGCTGCTGCTACTGTCCTCACGCGTCTAATCTCACTCTTGCTGCTAATAATCAAACTGCATCACAGGTTACATCAAATCTTAGTCACCAAACACACAGCCAAGACACAAAAGACATGGAATGCACGCATTAATTCAGTGGGTATTACTTCTGACAATGAAATTATGCTTCTTGGTATACGTGAGAAGACTAGCAAAGCAGTGATGAGAAATTAACCTTTCCGTGAAGGCGGGCTCATCGGACCCTTACAAATATCCAAATACACATCGCTTCATGCTACTATTGAGCCAATACACACGTTTAATCATCATCCTCATCCTCGACAGCACGGGGAGCAAGAACGTAACGGGTAGTTCCGTGCTTGTCAGTGCCGTGCTCCAGGGACAGCTTGCTGAGGGCAGCAATCATGTTCTCAATAGCAGGGTTCTTGCGGCTGCGGTCCTTGCGGCCAAGGGTGTCGAGCCACTGAATGCGGTTAAGCATGTAGTATACAATGGCGATGATGATCGTGACACCGATGGAGTAGGCCCAGATGATGACGACGGTGACAATGTCGACCCAGCCGTCGTCACGGAACTTGCTGTTGTGGGTAGGGGGGTTGGTCTGGTAGGGGGCACCGGACATCCAGCCGAAGAGGGTGAAGATGGTAGCGAGAGCATCGACACCCAGGATGGCAATAACCAGCTGGAACGAGGGGAAAGTCTTGCCGCCACGAGTGACGAAGATGAGCCAGTTCTCAGTAAGGGCAACCTCGAGGAACAGAATGGGCTGGATAGCACCAAAGTTCTGGATGATACCACCGCTGGGGACGAACAGGGTACCGCGGATGATCCAGGTGGCGAGGGCGAGGAGGAGACCGAGAACGACCGAGATGAGCCAGATCTTGGGGAGCTGCCACTCGACGGGGCGGGGCTCAGAGTGCGCGTTGTCGTAAGCGACGGCGACGGTAGCCAAGTCAGCAAACAGGGCGAGGAAGACAATGAGCTCGGCGCGGATCGTCTCGTTGAGGATGATCATCGACGTGACAAGGTAGACTTCCAAGTGGAGACACAGGGCAATACGGTACTGGATGTACGCCTTCATACGCTGGAAAATCTGGCGGGCAGTCTTGATGGCAAGGACAATCGTCGACAGACCAGGGGCAAGGAAGACGATATCAGCGGCAGCCTGGGCAGCCTCGGTGGAACCCTCGACGGCAATACCGCAGTCAGACTTCTTAAGCGAAGGAGCGTCGTTGACACCGTCACCAGTCATGGCAGTCAAGTGACCACGCTGCTGGAGCATCTCGACGACCTGGTACTTGTGCTCGGGGAAAACCTCGGCGAAACCGTCGGCGCGCTCGACAAGGTCGTGCTGCGTGGTACCAGTGAGACCGCCGTGGATGAGCTTGGAAGAGTTGTAGACCTTGGTACCGAGAGCAAGCATCTTGCAAGTCTCCTTGGCAATGGCAATAGCGTCACCAGTCAACATCTTGACGGGAACACCGAGCTGCTGGGCCTCGACAATCGTCTGGGCAGTGTCGTCACGGGGAGGGTCAAACATGGACATGAGACCGAGGAGGATCCAGTCACCGTCGTTCTTCTGGTAAGCGACACCGAGAGAGCGGAAACCACGGCGAGCGAACTCGGCGGCCTTCTCCTTGTAGAGGGTAGCGGTGATCTCGTCGCAGTTGGCAAGGTTGACAATGGCCTTGGGGGCACCCTTGGCGCAGACGTACTTGTCACCGCCCATGTGGCAGACGGCAGTAATGCGCTTGGAGACGGGGTCGAAGGGAGTGAACTTCTCGGTCCTCCAGCCCATGTTGAGGATCTCGCGGGCCTTGGGGTAGCGGCGGATGGTGAGGATGGTAACCTTGTCAATGGGGTCGAGCGACTTGAGGTTGTGCGACGAGGCAAGGGCAGCGACAGCCATCATCCAGTTGACGTCCTGGCCCTCGGCGACGTAGGGCTCACGGAGAGACAGCTGGTTGGCAGTAAGAGTACCGGTCTTGTCAGAGCAGAGAACGTCGACACCAGCGAGGGACTCGATGGCAGTCAGCTTCTGGACAATGGCCTTTTGCTCAGCAAGGTAGGCAGCGCCGACGGCGAGCGTGGTGGTGGTGACGACAGGCAGACCGACGGGTACACCGACGATGAACATGATGAGGGCGTAGTGGAGGAGAGTGACCGACTTGTCAGTTCCAGCGCGGGCCGTGGCAATGGGAATGTGGCGGAAGAAACCACCAATCCAGGCGAGCAGGATGAAGAACATGACAAGGACGAGAAGCGCCGTTCCGATCGAGTTCATGATGGCCTTGAAGTGACCCTGGTCCTGAGCGCCCTGCACGAGGGTAGCCGTGCGACCGACGAAAGAGTGCTTGGCAGTGGTGATGACGATACCGTAGGCCTTGCCGCGCTTGCAGCCAGTCGTGTAGTAGGCGACCTCTCCCATGTACTTGTCGACGGCAAGAGACTCTCCGGTGATGGACGACTGATCGCAGGCAACGAGAGGGTGGCCCTGGGTGATGGGGTTCTCCTCGTCGAACTTCTCCTCGTCGACATCGTCCTTTTCGTCCTCGGGGTCAGCGTCGTGGAACTTGTCCTCGGCCTTGAGCTTCATGTACAACTCAAAGTCCTCGGGGTGGTCGTAGCTGCAGATGAGGCGAGCGTCACCAGGGACCGTCTGGCCCTCCTCGATGACGACAATGTCACCGGGGACGAGCTCACGGGCGAGAATGGTCTGTTGCTGGTTGTCACGAACGACGACTGCCTTCATGGCAATGTCACCCTTGAGCGAAGCGACGACGTCGGCAGCCTGCTTCTCCTGGTACCAACCGACAATGGCGTTGAGCAACAGGATACCGCAAATGACACCGAAATCGACCCAGTCCTGAAGACCAGCGGCGAGCAGAGCAGCGAGCTCCATGACTAGCGGGGCGTCAGCGAATGCGCGCTAAAACAAAGCGTGTTGCAGAAGTGTCTGTGCTTACCGTAGAGAATTGGACCGGTGAAGTAGCCGAGGAACTGCTTGAGAAGGTTGGTCTTCTCGCTCGTGATTTCGTTGAAGCCATAGCGCTTGCGGCGCTCCTCGACGTCGTGCGAGGAGAGACCGGTGCGGAGCTCCGTGTTGAGGACTGCAGGAAATTGTTAGCGAGTGCTGGCGTCAAGATGGCGTGCGGTGTGTGTTTTGCTGTTTGCGGCGAGTAGCGCGTGGTTTGGTGGAGTCGGGCCTGCAGCGTGGCTCCACCGCGCGCGCGCCGCTATCGCTGGACTAGCAGGGCAGGAGCTTGAGCTTGAGCTCGGGCCGCCCGGGGCAGAAGCCAACCACGGACTCGCCAGCTCTGGAGCTCAACAAAGGTAAATTGGCGCGAGCCAAGTGGCCGGCAGCTCTCAGCAAGAGAGAAAAGGCCGAATGCGGCAGGTTGGTGTGAGGGACAGGGACAACTTACGCTCATCGGGCACAGCACCGGCGTCCTGGACGGGGGCGGCAGCGGTGCCAGACTTCCAGAACTGCCACCACTTCTTGACCTTGACCGTCGCCTCGGCGTGGGGGTTGTGCTTGGTGTCGCGGTAGAAGAGGATGTACTTCTGCAGGGCCGTGTATTCGTCCATACCATCGAACTCGGTCATGGAGACGATGGACTTCTGGCGCTCAGCGCCAGAGCTGGCACGCGGGCGCTCAACGTCGTCGTTGGGCGCCATTGTGGGCGAATTAGGGAATGCTGTGTGTGGTCGTATGTATTATTATATCCGGTAACTCGTGAGGCACAGAGAAGGCTCCCCGGGAGGCGACTGGACGTGACTGGACGTGACTGGGGGCGAGGGGGGGTGTCGTCGTCGAGCGTGTCAGTCGAAAGTGCTATGCAAAAGGGTAACCGCAAGCAAGGCCTTCTCTGTGAAGAAGCAGTTGTAGAGGCGGGCGCGGCTCTGGTTAAGTAGCGCGGCAGAGACTCGCACCCACGTCGCAACCAGGGAAAAACTCAGCAAGGACCGACCTTTGGCCGCTATGAGGGATTTATGATTGTCATAAAACTAGCCATGGTTGGGGAATAGCTCGAGCCGACAGTCCCGGGGGCATTTTTGCAGCGACCGCGGGCCCGTGCGTGGCGACGCTACATCATCGGCGCGCCGCAACGAGCAGAGATTGGCCCTTTTGGCGGTGCAGCCCTTGACCGGCCGAGGGTGCAGCCCGCGATTCACTGTGCTGACATGCCATTATCGCAGGTGCGCCGCCTTGCTCATCATCATCATCGTAATCATGGTTGCAGCAGGTGGTTTTTGCCACGGGCGCCCGAGAGAACCACGGCGGATGCTCTTACACGCAGCGGAGGCGGCGGCGGCGGCGACGACGACGACGACGTTGGCGCGCCCTCCCTCTCCCGCCCGCCCAGCCCCCCCCCCCCCATCAAACCCACCCCCCGCTCGGCAGCCCTGGTGTGGTGTGGTGTGGTGTGGTGTGGTGTGGTTCTGGCTCTGGCTCTGGCTCTGGCTCTGGCTCTGTTGCGGTCGCTGCCATACCCTGGACTGCCAGCCAGCAAACCAGAGCAGGGCGGACGGGCGGCGTGGTTGCTTGGAGAGGACAGCACTCCAAACACAGACTCGACTCGACGACACGACGCGGCGACGCACGACACGGCACCCACGGTGGGCGCAGAGATTAAGCCTGGAGATAGTAGCGCGCCAGTCCGCGACAAGCGTGCATGCGGTGCAGGGATGGGCCCCCATGACGTTTTGGCAACTGCAAAAGTGGGTTGCGCCTGCCAGCCTGCGTGTGCTTGGCCGCACCTGCCTGGCTGGCCTGGTCTGCACGCACACGCACACGCTCGCGCTCGCGCTCCTTCTCCACGCCTGCGACCAAGCCTTGCTGCCCTCGGTGTAAACAAAAGCTTGAATGCTTGGCCTCGCCTCTCGACACCGCCCGCGTGCCAGGCGGCTTGGACGCTGCGTGGTGGTGGTTGCAGTAGCAGCAGTAGCAGCAGTAGTAGTAGTAGTAGCAGCAGCAGCAGCAGCAGCAGCAGTAGTACGTAGACAGGCTGCATCATGGTGCCTCGCCTCACGCTCCGCCGCCGCCGCGCCTGGCTGTCTGCCTCGCCCTCGCCCTCGCCATGCTCCCCACGCCCTGCGCGACTTTTCCTCACCCGCATGCACAATTTTCTTCTAGCGGCCTTCCAGCCCCACGCGCTATCCTCTGCCTCTTGTTCCGTGGTGCACACATCACCCACCTGTGCCGCCATGTCCGAGTTCCCCCCATGCGTGCCACCAAACACGTCTGCTCGCTCTGGTCAAACCCCCGCGTATCGGCTCCCGACGCTGCTGCACTCGCTCTCGCGCCCTCTCTCTCTCTCTCTCTCTCTCTCTCTCTCTCTCTCTCTCTCTCCATGATGGAGCACGCGCCAAGGGGTTCTGCCCAAGGCCGCGCTCGCTCTACGCGCGAGAGCCCTACCGCTGCTGAGACAGTCGACGTCGGCCGAATCACACGCTCCGTCGCGACGGCGTCGTCGGGCCAACGCCGCCCATTACCAGCCATGTTATTGCCATACTAGCCACTCGTCGAGTAGCCGCAGTCTCTGCTCTGCCTCGACGGCCGCCGTTGGCAAAATGAAACTGGCCGCTGCGCTACCGCGGGGCCAGGGTCTCGTCTGCTGCGACCCAAGGCTCGCTTCGCAGGTTTCGATGCCGGCAGCGTATCGTCTGCTTTTCGCCTTGGTATGACTTGGCCTGGCTGCCATTGCGCGAATATGCCCCATGCTGCAGCTGCAGCGCCTGTGGGTGTGGGTGCGGGTGTGGGTGCAAAGGCTTCCCCAAGCAGGCAGCCCGCAAGGCCGGCTCACGTGACGCGCGCCCACCCGCACTGCCGATGCTTCGCCGGCACGCCCTCACCGCCGTGCGGGAATAATGTCGACGGCGCCCATGGATAGTGTCATGGTGCTCCCCCATTAGGTGTACACCTAGTCTACACATGCACGCCACGGCTATTGTTTATTTTTATTATTCTTCCCCCTTTGGACGCACACGCACACGCACGCTCGACAAGTCGTTGTGCCTGCTGCTGCTGCTGCTGCTGAATCGCATTCAACCCTTCGCACCGGTCTCGGTCCGTGCCCCCCTTCATACCCGCCTTTCCGCTTCTGCATCTGGGCCGCCCAAGTGGCCATCGGAATATACATCTGCCTGTACTATCTCCCAGCCCCTTTGGCCGTCGCGGTTTGGGCTGTCCGGTCGTGAAACAAAACACTTGGGCGCCCCGGCCATGTGTGCTTGCCATGCCCTTTGTACCTGCAGCATAGGCGTTGCGGAAGCACGCGCTAGCAAAGAATTATTGCCCGCCCGCGTTTCAAACGCCGACAGGCGTTCGGGAAACTTTGACGCGCGCATCCCTGCTCTGCAACGCCGTGGCCTGAGTATGCCACACACGACACTCGCTCTACCTGATGCTCATCTGCGGCTGCCACTGTTTCGCTGCCAGCCTCGCCCTCGCCCTCGCCCTCGCCCTCGTGCTGCGCTGCCTGTGCAAAGCGCCTACACTTGCACTTGCAGTCGGCCGACGCGCCCACACTGATGACGGCACACGACACCCTTGCAGCCGATGCATGCAGGGACGATGGGCTCCACTCGCCGCCTCACTCACGTCTGCCTCGCAGCCTCTGGCCTGGCCAGTGTTGCATACGCCGAACGCGCCCGTTCGCTCAACCACGCGCCCGCCAGCTGTGCTTTTCCGTGACAAATTCACCACTGTCCGATATCAACCTTGGCCGCTACCAAGCGTTACACCTGGCCCGGTCGGTGCGCGCGCTGCCAATACACATGGTAACACACAGTCCGCCCATGCGCCCGCGCTTCTCGCTGCGTAGTGCTAGTAGTGCGCTGCTGTAAAGCTTCCGCCCGCCACCCACCTGGAAAATCTCTGCACCACCACCACCACCTACACTACACTACACTACACTACACTAGGCCCTGCTCCTCATGTTGCGACAATTGCTCCAGCCCCAGGTCATCTGCCCACAGATGCAATCTTATTGTCGTCGCCCCCAGGAATGGACTTTTTCTCAATGGCCGCCAAGTAGCAGATCAATTTTGGCCTCAGTACCTGATCTGAGTAGATCGCCCTTGGCACTGACACTCCCACCCTCGGACGAGCCCACCACCCTCCGCCTCCGAGCTAGCCATGGCCATCTCCGCCTTTGCACCCTTTTTCTTCTTTGTGTCTTTTGCGTCTTTGCCCTCTCCGGCTTATTCTCGCCCATTGTCACATTCTTACTCTACCCAAAGCATGCCCAGCTTCCTTCCAAGCTTCCCCCTCTTCTGCCCTCCCTTTTCTGGTGAGGCATTTTCCACCCCCCCCCCAAAGACATTATTGATCTTGGCGCCGGCCATGGTCTCGCGCGCGCATGGGGAAAAAAAATCAGAGTGAGAGCCCTTTGGCCTTGGCAACCCCCAACCGAACTACTAAACACCCGTCCCCACCCCCACACACGCGCTATATATGCACGAATTGACTAATGCCATGTATCCTACTATCAAGCCTTGAATCCTAGACACGATGAATATATCTCAATCAATCTTCTTCGTCGCTCTCTCTCTCTCTCTCTCTCTCTCTCTCTCTTACCCGTGATATTATGTGAGAATGATCATCCCCCCTTTTACTGCAGAGCCCAGAAATCCAAACAAACGTTCAAAAGCCAAGAAATCCCGACACACACACACACACACAGACAGTTCCAAGAAGGCCAAGGTAAGCTGTATTTACCCAACTTGACAAGCAAAAAAACCTACTAGTCCCTTCCGCTCTTCTTTGCCAAGTCTCCAGAGAAGAAGAAGAAGAAGAAAGTTTCCTTTGCCCCTTGTCTCGGCGGGAGTCGCCTCACCCTAATCCAATAACAGGCTTTCCGTGTCCATGTACGTGTACGGAGCCACTACTCACTATCGGCTTGATGTCTGTGCGGAAAATGCTCCCAGTCTTGGCGGGTATGCAGTCCAGTCTATCTATCCATCCATCTACCATCTATCAATTACTCACTCTCCATCACTCAATCAATCAATCAATCAATCAATCAATCAATCAATCACTCCCTCTTTTTGCTTGGCCCCATCTTGTGCATATTCCTTTTTCCCCTCTTTGTCCCCTTTCTCCCGTCTCCCTATACCTATTCCTTTTCTCTCGTCCCTTTCTTTTTCTTCCCTTTGCTTGACTATAAAACTTGCTTGTTCTTCTTTGCCCGTCCACTCTCTTTCCTTGGTCTTATGCATGGCCACGCGTTAGCATAGGGGTGTGAGAGGAGATAGCGTGGGGTGCCATGGCCGAAGGGTTGATGACTTGGCTTGAAAATGTTGATACGTACTAGTACTACAATCATATCATATCATATCATATCATATCCTTCTTTCTGATCCACCTGGGCGAGAACATGAGTTGTGGCAGTGCAATGCCTCTCTCTCTCTCTCTTTCTCTTTCTTTCTTTCTTTTCTCCCTTTTTCGTCTTTACTTTTTCCATCGTCTGATCTAATCATAGCTGGCGAATAGAGAGAGACACAAATGTGTGTGTGTGTGCACGTATGGTGGTGGCTGTGGCTGGTTTCTGGTGGCGTCCCCCCCTTCGAGTTACGTTTGTACATATGATTCGTATACAAACTTTACACAGCATTAACTAGCCATTGCAGGCGCCTTTTTTCTTCCTCCAAGCGCTTACTCGCTAAAGAGGGTTCAGACTAGAAATTGGTTTCTCGCTATATAATAAATGTCACTGGTACTAATACTTTTCCCCATTTCGGTCGTCGACCCCAATTCCAGTGCATGTATTCACTCTTTTTTTTGGCCAAGATACTCTGCACTTTTAGTACTTCATTCCATTATCATTCATCATGCTGGATCCCCCCTTTTCAGCTTCAATTTAGATGTTGAAAAGAGCAACGGTAGTCTCAATGAAAAAAAAAACACGGGTGGGGGGATACACCGCTCATACTCCACAAGATGAATACACGGCCAGTACACAGCTATACCGCGAAATTGCTCCTTCTCGCTTTGTTGAGGCCCGAGACATGTGCTTCTGCGGAACAAAATTTGCCGGATATTATGCTGACTTACTTGGTTAATTACTTACAACTGCTTCTCAACAGTGAGTCAACAAAACAAAATCACGTACACACACATGTACGTATAATAAACATGCTCCCCCCTGAATTCGGAACACAGTGCCGGCGAAAGAAAAGGGGTGAGGTATACGCGGATACATAAGGTGAGTAAACAAACAAAGAAACGCCATGTTTTCTTTGCTCATTGATTTGATAGATACATGATAGGCTTCCACATAGTTTTGAAAAAATCTCTGGTAAACTAGTAAACCAAAGAAATCCGTTTGCAACATGACTTGATGTTGATTGGCCACCTACGAATAAGGAAAAAGACCCTGTATATTTGGTACACGATGTGGCAGAAATTATGAGTCACCCTTTTCCACCAGCCAGTCGAATACCGCATATTACATGCACACGTCTACCGGAATATACTGCTGCTGACCTGGCACAATTCCATGGATGAAGCGCGAGAAAAGAGTATTCGGCACCGTGGTTTTATTGAAGAAGGAAAAGTGATTAATTTCCGACTCCTCAGCCTAGAGACTGTAGATTCTGACAGCATCTCATAGGTGGATACAACTAGCAGTTTAATCGAGTTAATAAACCATGGTCTAGTTGTGATTTGCTCATTGTAAGTACTACAAATTATGTCTGCTCATCACTGCAGTTATGGTACGGGTGTTGTGTTTATCACTACTGGGAAATATGGTGCAGGACGTAAATGCTGTTGTAGGTTACACACGGGTTGAAATGAACCGGATAAGTAGATGTTCATTTCTAGTGGGTTTACCTGTAGTTGCTTCCAACATTTACGAAGAGCTAATGATCAATGATGATAGGAAATGTGCTACACTATTTCACCACGAGTTTTGAATCAAGTCATGATATAGTACCCTCCCAGTGTTTATTTTCCGGTAATGAGGATTGTGAGTCCCATAGAAAACATTTCTGAATTTGGACTCATCAAATCACATGTACTCCAGTTCATACAGTATGTATCACATGAAGATAACGACTAACTCTCTACCATCTGCAGCTACAGAATACATACAGCGACAACATGCCATCATGTAGGATAATTCAAAGCATATCAACTTTGTCGAGCACTCAATCCTTACTCTCAATCCAACCCAAGACGAACACCCCAAATCACCGCCATATTCAAATCACCGTTATCTTCAAAACAACAAGCCCAACCATGTTAGCTACGTATTAGACGCTCGAGCTCGACAACCACCCTCCAAGCTCTGCACCGGGCAAGAGCACAGCACCACCACCACGGCGACAACAAAGAAACCCACCAAGATGGCGCACACACCCCGCGCAACCACCGACTCGCTATCCGCCAGAAACTGCAAAAAAAACTCCACCTCCGACTTATCAGCAGGGGGAGGGTGGTAAGAGGACCACACATACTTCCAACGCGACGATAATACAATTTCCGGAGGTTGACCGGTAACCCTAGTACTTACTTACTTAGTTTACCAACAGACCAAGTTGGTGGAGTCTCCGCCCCCCGCCCCTCCGCCCCCCCCCCTCCCTCCCTCCCTCCCCACCACTAACTAACTAACTGACTGACCGACTGACCGACTGACCGACTTCAAGCCCTGAAACCTAGCGAAAATGCATGTATCCACAACAACTAAAAAGAGGGGCTACTTACTTACAAGTAGCTTTCCGGCGCTACGTAACTACGCGCAAACCGCGAGCGGAACGTGCAGATATGCACGCGCAGACGCAAAACGCAGCCTCAACAGCAAAATAGTCCACCCACAAGCTTTGTGGTCAAAGAGAAAAAAAAAAGGAAGAAACCCCCCCCCCCCGCATGACCCCTGTTTAGTGCGGTTTGGCCATGTCCGGTGAGAAAGGCGCGCCAAGGCTTGTGTTAGTGTAAAAGTACGTTACTTAGTTAGTCGGGGGTGGGCTGGCTAGGTAAACCCAACTAAGTAAGTTATACTTGGGGTTGCGTACGTAGCTAAGCTAGCCCACCACCACCATCACCACCGAATTCCGAGCGAACTGCCACTGAACTGAACTCACCGGCCCCAACATATACGAACCGGTTGTAAATAGCGCCATTACTTTTTCCCCTCCGCCGACGACCCCCCCAACCCCTGTTCATGCAAGTGGGCTCGCGTGAACCCATGTCCTGGTAGTATGTATGTATGTAGTAAGTAGGGACTTGGTGGCTGGGCATTTGTGATCTTTGCTTTGGGATATATACCCCTCCCTTTCGATATGTCGCTTGAAGAAGAGAGACAAATGGAGTACAATGGAGTGAATACAATCAAGAGTTAACATCTGGCCAGATACGACTTGCAAGTTTGCAACCTTCTATTCGCAAAATGCTCGTACCATAGATTGATAACAGGTCCCCGGACAAAGAGCAGTCTTCTCAAGTACATCCGAGTACTCTATACACTAGATACATCCCGAACCATGGTGTTTTCATTCCTTCCTTTCCTACAGCTTTTATTTCGTCATTTCACACCCCACCTCCTTTTTCACCCCCATTGCATATCTACCATGATTCACCATATTTCAGGACACTACAATTCATCCTTCTCTCTCACCTCTTCACCACTCAGATCCGGCATGGCCATAAGCTTGACCACCAAACTCGTCCAGCCTGTAAAGTGCTGAGTACGCTGTCCCTTTCCAGTCTCGGGGTTGTACTGCTCCCATGCGAATCCTGTCTCCTTCCAGCTATCATAGACGGTGTTGACAAGGTTCTTGCGGAGTTCAGTGTACATCTTGGTGGCGCGGGCACGGTAAGGACCGGGCGCTTGTGCGAGTTTCTATGAAGAGCGTTAGTCAATGACAAGGTGCTAGATATGTGCGCCTTACGAGAAGCTGCGAAACAGCTAGGTAGTTGAGTGGCATCCACACTGGTCCCCTCCAGTAGTCTTCAGCAGTGTGGTAAAACTCATCGCTCTTGCTCAGACTGCGAATACCGTATGGACTCCAGAGCTGCTCCTCATCTTCAATCAGATCAAGCACCGCGCCCAATTTCTTATTGTCCTTGTCCATCAGGCCGGTCAAGAAGGGGAACAGGGAAATATATCCCTTGTGGCAGAATAGCGCATTCTCCTCGTAGTCGTCAATGGTAGCGTCGCAGTATGCCTGTTCCTTCTCGGACCAGTGCAGGTCGTCAATGTTTCGCACAATGGCTTCATCGTAACGGGCAAACTCGGCTGCATCATCTGTTTCATCCAGGTAGATTGCGATGCGCTTAATAGCGCGTGTCATCATACCCATCCAGCTAATAAGGTCGACATGCAGCTCACCAGGATGCGGTGGCTGAACGCGAGGGTAGTCGTCAAGACCCGAGGTAAGAATGTGCGATGGGGTACGTCCACGCCAGCGGTAGCCCTCTTTTGTTGAAAAGGCCTGGCGTTCGTAGCTCTTGATGTCGCCGGCCTGCGTCTTGCGGTACCAGAAGTAGTTGCGCTTGAGCAGTGGGTAGAGCGCGCGAAGGTATTCGAGTGCTGCTTCGCGGTTCGACAGTTGCATCGAATACGACTTCTCCTGACGGAGCTTTTCGCTGCTAGTATCCGTCTTGGTGGCATCCAGCTTGTCGAGGAAAGCAGTGATGACCATGAACAGTGTCGGCGGGTTCGCATAATGGGGGTACTGGATCTGGAACTCTTCAGGCACTTTGCTGCGGGCTTCGGCACCAAGAATCTGCTCGCGGGCGATCCAGCCATCCTCGTCCATGAGCTTGAACCAGCTCTTGATAATATCAAGAGTGAGATCGGCATCCCAGTCAATGACAGGCAGCAGATGGAAGCCTTCATCCCAGAGGAAGCCACGTGGGAAGAACGATCGAGATGGAATTGCAGTGAAGAGCTCCGAAGGTCCCTCAAGCTGGGCTGGGTTTCTGCTTCGCGCTTCGGCAGCCTCCTCCCAAAAACCCTCACTGTCCTCTTCGTAAGCGGGGTCGTAGGAACGGTCGACACGAGAATCGCCAAAGAAGTAGCCAATGCCACCAATCAAGTTCGAGAACAGCGACTTTGAGAAGCCGTCGTAGCGCTTGTCGGTAAACGGAGCTTGTGGCTCGAAGATTTTGGTAAAGCGAGTTGAGAAGGCTGATGTAACAGAGTCAATCTGGAGGGTCAGGTCTTCCGAGGTAATTTTTTTCGGGGCAGATCCAGACGAGAAGATGACGTCAAACTCGAATGGGCCTTCAAAGACCTTCTGGATAATGTGCATGTTGCCTTGGCTGGGAAGATGTTGGATAGTGTAGACCTGGGCAGGTGGCGGATGCACTTCCTCGCCATACTTTTTGATCAAAACGTCGATCTGGCCCTTCATGTGTGCGAACATGATGGCCTTGACCTGCCATAGCGCTTCCTCGGGTATTTGTCCGCTGTGGACCAGTGATCGATCTAAAGGCTTCTCGTCCGAACTCGGATGGTCCGTGATGGGGTGGTTGCCCTTGCCTTCAGTAATCGTGACCTCGAAGTCGCCGAGCTCGTTCGTCTGTCCCTTTAAGACGACATCGCCTTTGATACCCGGCTCTGACGTGTCGGCATCTACAACTTCCAGGCTGCCCAGACCCTCGAGTGTGTTGTACCAGAACAGCGTCGTGCGCAGGTTTGGGCTAGCATCCTCTCGCGGTGTTCCCTTGATCCTTACGCCCCAACTGCCGCCGTGCTCTCCACCCGGGAACTTGATGAACTCGGTTGTGATGTCGACCTTGTTTCCCGGGTCGTGGATCGTTTGCCGGCCGCCGCTACGCACGTCATACTCGTCCCAGCCGTAACCATCAAGCTCGTGCTGCTCGCATGTATGTCGGAATTCTGTTGGATCAGCAACAGGCTCAGACCATTGCTTGTGCTACTTACTCTCCTGGATACTCTGGTAATCATCAACTCCGGCCCACATCAGCCCGCCCATCAAGCTCTTGGGAATGCGTGGTCGAACGCCAAAGTACAGGTTGGGTCGGTAGGGACCCCACAGCAAGCTGGCATTGGTCGCCTTCTCAACCTCAGCCAGCTGCGCGCCTACGAGGGGCAATTGCAGTGCAAAAAGACATGCCAGCCCCCTCCAAAGAGTGCCGTGTCTGCTGTCGCGCGTCATGGTGTTGTGTGAAGCTGGGACTCGCGGCTTGGAAGCTTGTGGGGTTTGGGACACATCTCGCCGGATGTCCACGACCGCGGCCGCAATCGCATCTGATTGGACAGCAGCAATTGGTCCTGGTCCATGCAGTCATGCTACATGTTCTGCCCTGTTCTGTCTATTATATTTAGGCTACTATTGGTAGCAGGTCTACTGGGCATATTTCACGAAACAGGTCGAGTCCTTCTTCTGGCCGTCGGTGAAAATAGTTGAATTCGCATTCTAGAGAGCAGCATCCGTCTAACAATACATGCCCTGCTCATAGTAACAGATTCTGTAGTAACACATGTTCCTTTTGCTCGGGTCAGACTAAAGAGAAGTAATTGTGCTGGAATACGGAAAAGGCGTCATACCATGAGCTGCTCCGCCCCGAGTGTAGGTGGCCCAAGGACTTGCCGTAGCGTGTGTTTGCCTTGCCTCGTTTGTCCCAGAAAGGCGACTTTGACCGTTGGATGTTACGGTGGCCTTGCTTCAAGCGCAAGCTCCCGAAATTGTAACCATGACTTTAACCAGCAATGTAAGACCTCATAGCACATGCCCGTTACAGCCTCATCATGACCTGCTCGGCGACAGTGGCCTGTTAAAACCACCCTGGCGATTCATGTACTGTCTGGCCTGGAGCTGCTTGTCCTTCCTGACCCCGTAGTTCTTGTCGTTTCCAGGAACCTTTGTGTTTTTCGTGCTCTTGAATCCTCCAAAGCCCATGACCTTCAGCATCTCCCATTCGTCGTCATCCATGTCCTCTGGCTTCTGCCTCTCGTCCTTCATTTCCACATCAGGAGTCTCTTCCTTGACAGCAGAATCAGCCGAGGGGCGAGGGCCGCTTGGGGGTTTGACAGCGCCGCTGAAGGGGCCGCGAGCGCTACCACGGGGGCCTTTTGGTGGTTGTGGTGAGCGGTCGCGGAAATGGGAGCGATCATCTCGGCCTCCTCGCCTGTCGTCGCGACCTCGACCGCGGTCATGACCAGGCCTGCCCCTGTCGCCGCCTCGGCTGGCCCCTTCGCGCTCATCTTTTCGGTATGGCGATCGCGAACGGTGGCGGTTGTCGCGCCGGCCGCCGCGCTCTCGTGGACTGCGCGAGCGGTTGCGCCGCTCTGTGGGTGTGCCGCCTCGTTCACGGCCTTCGCGTGGCTCGCGACGGCTATCTCGCTCGCGGTAGCGGTCGCGGGATCGCTCGTTGTCTGACATTGTGTGTGGTTTTGTGTGGTGTGTGGGCGTTGGGAATGATGGGCGCAATAACTCTTTGGGCGGGTTTGGGTGCCAAGGCTGCAGCTCAGCCCTACCGAGTTGGGTAACCGCATCTAGGGAAGTCTGGAACTCGACTCTATTACTCTCCATCTACTGCCGCCATATAAACCGCCCCCAGTGTCCCTGGTAAATAGAGCAGTAACCTAGCGTGTAAAAGTATAATCAGATTTCATCTGTCGATTTTGTCCTATCTGAAGTGACATGGCCATGTGCAAGCGGTGTTGTATCTGACCAAACAACAAAAAATCAAGTAATGCTATACTCGGCCATGGCATACGCGTTGTATGCTCAGTCGCATCGTGCTGCTCCGTAACGCCATACACGCAGGGTATCGTAATATTCTTCCGCTGAGAACCAACCAGGGCCATTCAACCCAGAACCAAGTGTGACTTGCTTAGATTTCGTCCTCTTCTTCATCAAAGTCGTCCTCGGAGCCCATGTCATACAGGATCCGACCGCCCTCACCACCCTCGCCCTTCTGGGCATCAAAGTAGGGAAGTACGACACCTTCACGCGCCTGTTTCTGCTTGTCGGTGAGACCAAGGTTGAACGTTGACTCAATCTCATTGCCGGCCGCATTGATCAGGCCGGTGACCTCCTGGTTCGCATACGCAGGCAACTGATCTAAAAGGATAACGAATTCCTGCTTGAGTGTGCCAAAGGGCAGGCCTCCGCCAGGGGCATGGTAATCCGAGCGACGACCGGGCCGGAGGAAGAAAGTCTCGCCCTCTGGACGACCCGACTTGCGTCGGAATTCAGCCTCAAGAACAATGCCGCGACAGTCGTTGGCATCAAGGCACTGTACGACGCCTTCAGCCTCCTGAAGCAGACCATGAGTAGGCTCAGGCAAGCTGCGCTCTCTAGCTGCTTTGGCAGCGAGACAATGGGCTAGCGACCTGCAAGTGATGACTGAAGTCGCCATGTACATGACCAGATCGAGCACCTGAGGGGCGTATGGCGTCTCAGGCCGCACGTCATATGCAGCTAGCATGTCTTGATGATAGATACCAACGAGCGTCGACGCGAACTCCATGGCAACGAGGTTGAAAAGCTTGCCCATATCGATACCTTTCTCATTGAGTGCATCGTATAGAGAGTCAATGATGACAAGACTTTCCTTTGCACCACTCAGGGCCTTGCGAAGTTCATGCAGCACATCCTCGCCGGTGGCGCCAAAACCATTGACGGTACGGATAGTTGGCATGAAATGCGACGACTCAAAGGTGACGACTACAACGTTGATGTTTCGAGATAGTGCGCGTCGCATCATCTCGCATAGAAAGGGATGCGCACGCTGATTGAGATCGTCAAGAACGAGCGTAAAAGGCGATGCGTTGGCGCGGGCATTGAGGACTCTGGACATGAGGTGGGCTGAGTGCCGCTGATATTGCGTGATAGATGCTGGCCGATTCATCGTGAAGACTGGTGTAGTTCAGACGTGCTCCTTAGATACCAGTCAAGCCACCCGGTGTTCGATGAGTCAGTGGAGCACTTCGCTGCTCTGTAATGCAGTGTTGGAAAATTTTTGTTCTGAGTAACTACGTTCCAACCAATGTTAGCCCAGTTGAAAAAGTCTTGATCCCAGTCCATATTCGACTCTTGCGTAAAACACTTGGTGTGGTGCATGATTTGAAGACAAGTGATGTGATATAGTGTCAATAGAAAGAGAAACTGAGGGCTGAGACTGTAGATGATTTTATTTGAAGTCGTATGGTAAAGACTGTATTGGAAACAAGAACAGTCGCGGGATGATTGGAGGGTTGTTATCCAGCGAAAGACATGAGGAAAAAGGCATACCTCGCTTGGATGCAAAAAGAGAGTCGTAGGGTAGGATGTCAAGAGCCGATGTGTTATTTGGGACAAGAAGAATAACGATTTAGATGCAGAAACGTAGCCACTCCCTACTTTGGCTAATTGCTTGTCTATGCTGAAGCAACAGCGCAGGATCTTGGCAAATGTGGTGGTGGCGGGGGGAAGGGCAATGCAGCCCATGTCATTTTCGTGCGCACTAGCGCGTATTGGGCCTAGGCACAACTGGGTGGAGTTAGGCACTTGCAATGCCGTCTCCACTTCCATCCATGCGCGCCGCACCCATCGCTCAAACATCAAGGATACAAATGGGCATGCGATCCGAATAGCTATGAGGCATCACTCAGTATTTTTAATCCCGACATGACGACCAGCACGCTATCGTCATCGTCCAAGCCCCCGCGGCCCAGGTCTCCACACTTTCCACCCCACAACGCTCCACGCGTCTGGTTCATCACCCGGGGAGTGTCGCCCATTGCTATCGCGTTAGCGAGACAGGTCCTCGATCACGGCGACTATGTGGTGGCTGGTGTCATGCCAACTGAGTTTGAGAGAAGAGAAGGCCAAGTAGACGATTTTCGGTTGTTCTTGCAAGACGTGAAGCAGACGGAGAGGTGGCGCGAGCACCTGAGGGTCGTTGGCCTAGACAGCAGGTCAGTACGCGCAGATGCCGCCATGCATGTTTTATACTAATTATGTTGCATATAAAGGGTTGTCGGACAATGCCAGGCAGCGGTTGCTGAAGCCGTGGAAGCATTCGGACGCATCGATGTTCTACTATGTGCCGCGAGCGAAGGTAAAGCTATCCTCGGATGTGACGGAACCTCGAGCTAATTCAAGCCTATGAGTATAGCTGTTATTGGTGCAGTCGAAGAACTAGGTCAAAGCATCCGGACAAAGAGCCTGGTCGACGAAATCTTCGAGATCAACTTCTTCGCCAATGTCAATATCATCAAAGCTGTGCTTCCCGTTATGCGAGAACGAAAGAATGGCCATGTAATTGTGCTTACTGGTATTAGTAAGTTCTGACGAACTTTGGCTGGACGCAAACGTATGCTAACCGTGAACAGCTGGTCATCTTGGCACACCAGGACTGGGCATGTACTGTTCTTCTCAATGGGCCATTGAAGGCTACTGCGACGTAAGCATCACAGATCCAGCATATTCATGAGGTTTACTGAACATCGTGCAATAGAGTCTCGCCTATGAAATTGCTCCATTCAATGTCAAAATGTCGTTAGTTCAGGCCAACATGGAGGTAAACGTCCTCACAAACCGCATTACATCCGTCCCTCCCATGCCAGAGTACCTCCAAGGCGAAAACCCAGCGCCTCTAGCCCGGGAGATTTTCTCCAGCCTCCTAGATAAGCTAGAGAGACTCGACAACCCTGCTGCCAACTCGTCTCACAACTTTGATGAAACCAAATCTCCCAGCGGAGACAGCAACATGTCCGAAGCCGGTGCGGATGTGGAGCCAACAATGGGCGATTTACTCAGTTCGGATACAGTGACAAGCTTGTACGCGCCGCTACCCGCAGCTGTAAAGAGCAATCTGATTGCGGAAACGGTCCATGCGTTGACTGCAATTGGAGGCCATGACAACCCTCCTGCACGCCATATTGTGGGCTCAGAAGGAGTTATGGCTGTCAAAGAGAAGCTCAAGACTACGAGTGAGGAGCTAGAGGACTTTGTTCAAGTCAGTGCTGCCGTGGACATTGTAAAGAAAGGTAATGATGGCGTGGGTGGAATGGGCATGGATCAAGACGTGTAAAGTATTACAAGAGTTGGATATTAATTTTGACACTCGAGTATCGGAACTTGTGGCTGTAAAATACGCATGTGCTGTTGTACTACAAGACTTGGAAATGTGCAAACATCCGAGGACCTGCTATGGTTACAGCTGCAACGCCTGATGTATGACAACGCCGGTTATGCAGCAGTTCTTGCTGATACCTTCTTACTCTTTCTGTACACCTTCTGGAAGAATGTCTTCCATCCCAAATAGCGGTGTTCACCCTCGTCCTGCTCTATGCCGTCTACCAAGCGGTCCCTCGCATCCATGTACCACACTCGCCAGATAGCAATGACGATAAAAGTCAAGGGAAGTGCGATTACTAGAGATGGGTTAGTTTCAGCTCTACTTCAGCTGTGAGTCGAGTTCATGTACGTACCCCACAGAAGCCAAAAATCCTGCGACACTGTAAGATGGTAGGGGCCCTCCTCGTCCAGCTTCATGAACTGACTGCCGAATATAGACGCGACTGTACCCAAGGGCATGAAGACAAGCGTCGTGACAGCGATTGTCTTCATGCTTTGATTCTCCGACTGCATCACCTTGCTGTCGCCCTGCGTGACTGTATTGAAAGACAGCTGGATGATGTTGGAGATGCGCGCGTCCAGGCTCGTAAGCCGCCGCTGGGTGGATTCGAAGAGAGTTTTGCGGTACACTAATGCCTGGTTGGTGAAATTCTGCAGATAGCTAGGACTGTTTCCTATGGCAGTCTCATGATGGTTGCGGAAATGCTCGAGGGTAGCCAGTGCTGCCTCGCAGTTCTCGCGCAAGTAGATTGTATGCTTTGCGAGGTTGTGAAGTCCTGTAAAATGGTCCTTGTACAGTGCCTTTTCCTTTGTTGCTGCTCCAGGATTGCTCGCCATATCTAGCGCTTTCTGGTGATGTATTAGCAAATGCTTCTCTGCTGTAGAAGACCGCATACCGTCTCGATTAGCCCAAAAATATCCGCTAGATTCCACGCCGTCATGTCCAATACCTTGTACATTTCCTCAAACGCCACTTCGAGCAAAAAGTATGGATCTCCGATGATATCATCGTACGTTGCCGTCTCTATCAGGGTGCGGAACCGATTCAGAAACGTGGCAGGAGCCCCGAAACAAAACAACTCGACCCTGGGCGTGGCTACCACTGCCGTTAAGGTATCATCGCTACCTGAAGTCGACGTTCGTCTAGCCTTTGGAGATGCAGCTTTCTGCGGCCTGATCTTCAACACGAAACCTGGTTTTACCCACGAGAAATTCGCATGCCGTTGTCTTTGCGCCATTTCACGCAAGTCCTGGTCACTGGTCGGTTCATCTTGGGGGTCGCGGATATGAACAATCCTTCCGTCCACGATTGCGAGCGTTTTGCACAAGAGATGGAACCACACGTATGTTGTTCCATCCACATCTTGACGGGCTGCGAACGACTGTGAGCATTGTTGCAGGCCCTCGTCGACGAAGGCGCTTGGGATTCCGCACGCTTCAAAAAGCTCGAATAATCCTTCGCCGTAATTGGGTGTGGGTTCATCACGGGGCCCGAAGCTAACTGGGTCAGTCATTACTTACGCGAGATCTTGCTCCCGTCCGTACTCACACTACCCGAACCGCCCCTCTGCTCTGCGTCCGAAGCTCGTCAACTGAATGGATATCACTTATCTCTTCGCCATGAGTAGCTGCATCTGGCCATTCGAAGACATGCAAATCCACTGCTGGGTTGGACTTTTCCTTGTTGAAACTCACACTCTGCCGCGCCCTCGCTCTGAACTCGTCAAAAGGCCGGCGGTCAGCGGTCAAACTTCGAAGCGATGCCATGTCTGCCGTTGCTGCAGGAGGATCAACACACGGGACTAAGTAATTGAACTGCCGTGGACAGACTCCAGGGGTGATCGGGCCATTTGTGAACCGATCAGGTGGTCACAAACTCTTTCACGGGATCCAGACTTGGCACATACCCACACACACACAAAACAACACCATGCGAAGCCCCCTTTGAACGTGGAGTCACAACCTGCAGAATCCTTTTCCCACATCTAGGCCGACTCTTGGCATTCCACCCTACAAGAGGAATCGGTTCAAAAGCTGAGCGGAAAGTGATATGTTCGGGCCTGTTAGAACGCATGCTTAGCGCTAAATAAAATTGGTGGCGTCAGGCTGAGATAGCCAAGCCCTCAGCTGGCAGACAACATCACAGACACTTACCGAAGGCGGAGCTTGACACGAGAACACGAACTGCACAAGTGTGCCAAGTGCTGCACAGGAAAAGGTTATCGAGTCCCGCGATTTCATGTGCATCGGTGCCTGGCCAGTTATCCTGTGCAATCTTGTCACTGCACGATAGCCTCAGCCTTGTGGCAGGCACAGGCACAGGCTTCTGGACCGGTAAACAGTACCGTGGCTACGCCTCGGATTGAAAGAAGAAAGGGGCTCGCAATGGCAAAAGAAGCCATGTTTTGTAACCGGCCGGGTACAGCATCGACCACTCACCTATCACTGACTTGTATCCGAGGAACTGGTACACGTGTGTAAGTAGTGCGGAGCAGGTGGAATACGATATCGTGTAGCGTATGGCCAACTGTTACCGCTATCCGATAACAAGATTAGTGTAGGCCAGCCTTGTTTACCCGTGGAGACGACATGTCGAAAAGGGTACCGGCGGAAAGTACCGTCTGTGGGGGCTGCATGAACGCCATCATGCTCCTTGCTGAAATGGTGCCATGGGGCGCCCGAGACAACCAATCAGTTGAGAAGATATGGAGCTGAATTCTAAACGCGGCATACCACCACTAAGTACAGGATCATGTGCAACTTTGGTCCTGAAATTGATGAATCTGGCTCTAGGTAACAGGCCTCCAACATGATAAGATTGGGCACATTCGCGCTTCGTCGGCGACTCAAGCATCCAGCCTGCTCAATCCAAAAGAAACTCTATATTTGAATGGTATGGGAACCCACAAAAACCTGGGATTTCTTTCCTGAAGCCGCTCACGCTCGTCAGGCCTACTCTGCCAATTACTCTGGTAGACACGGCGGAGGATTTGACCCTAACGGTGGCGCCTTTGTCCAAGTGCCATCCTACCAGCAATCTTATCCGGTTCGTATTATGAAATTGGCCTGAAGTCCTCCTTTAGCTGACTTTGTTGGGCAGATTCAATCACATCACTGCGGTGGAGGTAGCTACGACCCGAACGGCTCTACAATAAGTCCTGTGCCTGTTGTACACCAGCAACCACCAGCTCGTCCACAACCGACCTTCTCATCACAAGTATGTGCAGTACAATTCTAGTCTTCGTCAATGCTAATCTCGCCCAACAGGCATCTACTGCGTGGGATTCACAGCCGTATCAGCACTATCAACAGCCTCCACCACAACAAGTCGACAATCGGCCAGGTATCATCACACAACTGTGTGCCTGCTTTCGGTAACTGCCAGCATGAATCCAGATAAGGCTCAAGCGTCAGTATATGAGACTGGGGCATATGCCCCGACTACCTCAGATGGACAGGCTGCAGATCCGGAGAAACAACCAGGGCAATCGCTCATCAGGGTTTGTTGACCTGAACATGTTACACACAGACTGCTAACAAAATACAGACCAACGGACCAGTCCGATTGAAAGGATACCGATACATCTTTACACCTTTCACAAACGCAAAATGGGGTTTTCCGAATTTCTATCGCAAGCCAGGTCTCGGCTATCAAAAGCTCGGTCAGCACAGGCATCGAGACATTCTGGACCGAGAGTGGAACGGCGACTACGATGATCGGTACATTTCAGCATGGGATGGTAAGATCTCAAAGCTCATTGTCCAAGCCGTCGACGACATATATGAGAACAACACGGGATCTACGTACCGCCGCACGTTCATTCGAAATGTCTCGCCCATCTACATGCGCATAGCAAACTGGCCATTCAACCATATTGATTATGCGAAGAACAATGGCCAGATTCCGACTGATGACTACCTTATGCTTGGCCTCAAATGGTTTGTTGCGTCGTGCCTCATTACCGTCTTCGTACGTTTTTCCGTCTTACAATTGACCGTGCCATTCTAACCACGCCATAGATCTCCAGCCCCAACTCTGCTGAGGCTACCGAACGGAACGGAGGCAATTATGATTCCGTACCGTACAAGTACTTTGGATACCCAAAGGTTGCAAAGAATATGCTTGAGACAGACAGACGCGATGGCCAATCTCCGAGCCAGGCCAATCCCATTGCTGAGCGCGTACTCCGGCCGCGGTATCTTTGTTTCTTGCGTGAAGAGGGGATACCCGCGAAGATTGTAAAAGTTGATGACTGGTAAATCCACGTCTTCAAACCCTTTGATCTGCTGCTGACCATTGCAGGATTGCCGACAACATCTCAGGCGCTCACCTTTCCTACGTCTTCATTGCCTATACGGCGGAACAGTTCAACACGCCAGAGGGTTTCAGAGTGCTGCACCAGATGGCTGATGCAGCAGCACGTAGAGCCGGAGTCATGGCATACTGGGTTGGATGCTCGTGTATGCCTGACAACCAGCTCCAAGAAGATGTACGCAACTTCGCTACCTACAGATTTGGAACATTTGAACTAATCCAAAGACTAGGTTTACCGTATCTGCGACGTGATTCGAGGCGCCCATTCTCTAGTCATTGCCGTTGGAAGCCCAGCAAGCAACTCGTCCGAGATCGACACACCCGACTTGATGCTTCAACAATGGGGTCGCCGCGTCTGGACGTTCCCTGAAGTTCTGCTAGCGCCGACTGGAAGAGAAATTAGTGTATACGTGCGTGACAGCGACTGGAAACGTCCTATATCGGTAGCCAAAAACCAGTTCGCCGCCCAAGTGTGGCGGGACGATGCTCATGTCGCTCGACAGGTACCACTACGTCTTTCTGTCATTTTACTGAAATCGTTACTAATTGGCCATAGCTCATTGACCATTACGAGGGCAATTTGATCCTCAGCCAGCTCGAGCTCGTCACGCTTGCGCTGGAGTGCCTGCACAAGAGAGACACCTCAGAATACCTCCCAGGAGACCACAGCTATGCACTCATGGGTCTTCTTCGCGTACGACCGCAGATTGACAAGACGGATTCAGCGTTCCAAGCATTTGCACGGTATGTCTGTTACTGTGCTTCTTGACTCCTTTGCCTTACTAACGCACGCAGTCTTTCTCTTGCCAACGGTAGCGACCAGCTTTTGGAACGCCTAATCTGCGTTTTGCCCAGCAGCCCCGACCAGCCCTGGCACTCGATGGACGATGCCTACAATGCCAAGCTGTGGGATATTCTCCCGCAGGATGTGGGCATCGCGGGCGTCGGCGAAGACGACAGCATCATCCTCGACGGGTGCCGCGCCGCAAACGTCCGCTGGAAATCCTTCACGCCCGTCGCCTATGTGCGCCGCGAAGCCTGGAAACGCGTGCTCGCAAAGATGCTCCTACGCACAGGCGGCCTCGTCTTCATCATCTCCCTCGTTCTCATTGCCCTGCCGGATCCTTCGCGCACCGTCGGTGTCATCCTCCTCATCTACTCGCTCTTCCTCATGGCGCTCTCGCCATGGCTGCTGCGTTTGTTATACCTAGGCAAATTCTGGGACCAGCAATGCTGGTTCTTTGGGTTTGAAGGGTACATGGATCTGGAGACGATTGAGCGCCAGATTTTCGGTGGGCGCCTGGGCCGCATGAAGTGGACGGTACGTGTCTCCGGCACCCTTTGCTTAACTCGTTTTGGAAAAGAAGATAGATAAACTAACGTATATGTATACAAACAGGCCGCAGCAAGCCCCCTCTCGCGCCACTACCGCAACGAAAAAAACGAATGTGTTGGCATTGATCCCACATCTGACCCCGCCGTCGCCGCAATGGTGCAACGAGCAAAGTCGGCGGGCCCAGGCGACCAGCGTATCTTTACCCTCGTAGACACAGGTACGTAACCACACTCTTTGACCAACCAGCCACACTAAACAATCATCCAACTAACAACCATTTGTACAGGCAGCATGACAGCAACCCTCTTCTCCGCCGAGCGGCCCCCCGTCTGCTTCCTCATGGCGGGCTCCGAAGGCGGCATGAAGCGCATCATCGGCTGCTCGTACGACTGGACCACCGAAACAATGTACCGCGAAACCGTGCTGCGCATCGGCACCGAATTCGAGGATAAAATGTCCAGAGTCGGCAGAGTCAAGATTGGCTTCAAGCGCAAACAGCATGCGTTTGGCCCGTTGGCTCAGGTCGGTGAGCCAGTGGGTAGGGTCGTCAAGTAAGTTGAGTTGAGTTGAGTTGGGTTGGTAATAAGGGAGAAAAAGAGTGTGTGTGTGCGCATATTCCTCACTCACTTAATCACTTACTACTGTTTCTTGTTCCACTATCTGGACACTCTGGAGGGTAATGCAGATACCTTTGTCTAATGATTACGGGAAATGGGTCATGAGAGAGGTTCAGGTTATCTTGGGTTATCTTCTACTGGTCGGTCCAGTCGAGTTGGGTTGGGTTGGGTCTGATGAAATCGCTCTATACCTTTTTTCAGTTTTTTTTTTTTTTTTTTTTTTTTTTTGCAATCTCAGCTTTGATATATATATAACGTATGTGGCAAGCGAGCGCCGCACCCCACCAAACCTGCGCACCTCTCCTATCTCAACGAACAATGGCTCAACGTAGCGCTACTCAATTAGCTTTAAATGAAGCAGATATTTAGCTTGCTATTTCTTCTATTAATCTCTATTAAACACAAAGTAATCGTCGCGCTGCTGCTGTCTACAACGTGTCTGAACGAACAATCCGCCGCCGACGCGCTGGTATACCTGCTCGACGCGATTGCCAGCCTAACTCAAAGAAGCTCACTAAGCTAGAAGAGGAGGTGATAGTTGATCATATACTTGATCTAGATCTACGTGGATTTGCGCCCACGTATGCTGCTGTGCGCGATATGGCTGATAAGCTGCTGGCTGCGCGCGGCGCTGGCCAGGTTGGGTAGAAGTGGCTAGCCAACTTTGTTAAGCGTACAGACAGTCTTACGACGCGTTTCAATCGAGCGTACGATAGGCAGAGAGCTCTATGTGAAGATCTAGTCCTAATTAAGAGCTGGTTTGAGCTTGTAGAGCAG